TAAGGAGGATAATAAGCCTCAATCGTTGGTCATCTGAGTAAATAAAGGAGAGGGGGCAAGGATGTCATCGCATTTGTTCATGCCTCCCACGTCAAAAAAGTTGTACCATGGAGATACGCAAAAAACATCGTCCATTAATGAAGATATCTCTAGCATAGCCGTCATTCGGGGGCAAGATTAGAAGTGAAAGAATCTATTTCACCGAGGAGCTACAAGACAATGCTCCCAAGAATAAAGAAAAAATAAAAAGATCGAAGAAAAACATAATCTAGAGAGGAAATTGAGTAGACTTTGGATTCACGACGCTAAGGCAGTTCTCTCACCGCTCCGCCAAAGAGACAAACTCAGGGTAGGCGACAAGCTAGTCATAGTTTGAGCTAGAGACGACATTCAGATCAACAAATCGTCTGCCCTACCTTGAATGGATGCGGCGTAAGAGGACCTTTGAAATATCTTTTGCCAATATGAAAAGACTTCCCCAACAATATGAAGGTGACCCACATGATGAGAAAATATGGATATCGCCCAAACCAAGGGCTCATTAGAAACTCTCAAGGAATAAGGGAGCACCAGATTTTAAAGACAATCCTTTAAAGCATGACCTAGGGCATGACCCTACAAAGGATCAAGCTGCATAAAGAAAAGGGAAGTCTCCCCTCTGCACCTTGAATAAGATTTTCCCATATAGAGGGGTTCAAGCGTCAAAAGCGACTTTAGTCATTAGGTGTTCTCCTTCTAATTCTTAGGGTTTGTAAATCCAATGACTATTAGAGATTACTCCTCGGGGCTAGCCCGACCCCTGAGCATTGTAGGGCACATATTTCCCTATTAATTACAAAGAATGTCATTCTTACTATCTGATTTAAGTCTTGCTTAACAAATGTTGATTGCTTGAAGATGATTATCAATATTGGATTGTCTAAATGAAGTGATTGAATGAGATAAACACTTACCTGTGAGAATTAGAGATGAGTATATATAACTCTATTTGAGAGATCATGCTTCTTTGAGGATAGTTGAGGACTAATTATTCTTTGTTGGTTTTTGTAACTTGAATTCTTATATGTTCTATTTTCATTTGGAATTGTGAGCATCACCTTTGAAAATTTTTATGTTGTGGTTTTGGAAGAGAAAGTGATAATAGGCGATGGTTTTGTTTTGGAAAAACTACTTTGCTTGGGACAAGTAAGATTCTAGGTTGGGGGAAGTTGTTAAGTGGTAAAAAGTTGATATAATTATACCTGGAATTGTTATGAAAGCACTTAACTTATGCTAATTCTAATCTATTTTTCTCCCAATATAGGATGAATTCAAGAATACCTTGATACAAGAGTAAGGAGCATGATTGCCAGCAGAATTGGAGAAAAACTGGAAGAAGGAAGAAGATTTTTATGTTGTGGTTCTAGAAGAGAAAGTGATAATAGGCGATGGTTTTGTTTTGGAAAAACTATTTTGCTTGGGACAAGCAAGATTCTAGGATGAATTCAAGAATACCTTGATACAAGAGTAAGAAGCATGATTGACAGCAGAATTAGAGAAAAACTGGAAGAAGGAAGAAGATTTTCAGTATGGAAGTCGCTCAAGCGAGATGGATTCTCGCTTGAGCGAATGTTAGTTATTCTTCTCTGGAATTCACTCGCTCAAGCGAGCCAAGATTCGCTTGAGCGAATATCAGTTATTCTTCTCTGAAATTCAGTCGCTCAAGCGTAGGAAAATTCGCTTGAGCGAATGTTAGTTATTCTTCTCTGGAGTTCATTCGCTCAAGCGAGCGTTTTGTCGCTTGAGCGAAAACAGGCTACTTTCGCTTGAGCGAAAGTTCTCGCTCGAGCCAATGATGCGAAGCCTAAAAGTCCAAATTTTTCCAATAAAAAGAGAAGATGTGTTTTGAGAAAAGGAAACAGTTTTGGAGGAGAAGAGGCGCGACTTCTTCCAATCTTCATCAATTCTTCACTTCTTCAACAATTTAAGCATTGTAATAGCCAACATGAGTGACTAACTTCATTCTTTTAGGATTCGGTGCACTTCCTTTGAACTCTTTTGTATCATGGTGATATTTTGAGATATTAATCTATGTTTTGTTATTCTTATCCTTTGTGCTTTGGAATGATTTATTCTTGATTGTTTGAGATATGATTGGAAAATATATCTTGAACCCTAGATCACGGTAAGAATATTTGTTACGTTAATTGCCAGTAATGAAATAAATGTATCAATTGCTTAATACCCTAAACCTAATGCTGGAAAATCTCTTAATTGTGTGAGGAATCAACATTTATTAGGTTTTCTTATGAATTTCATGTGTGAGGAATCAACATGGATGATTTGAGTAAGTGACTTCAACATTGTTAGGTTAATTGATGTTCTTAATTGACATAACCATTACAAAAGAGGGATAAGGAAGGAAATCAATCCTAAGTACCTTTAATTGATATTTTCTCTACAATTTATAGTTCTTTGTCATTTAATTTCAATTCAACTCTTATTTGAAAAATCCAATTTGTGTTTAATCCACTTAGTAAGCATATAATTGGGAATTTCCATTGAAACTATTCCTCGTGGGATCGACTTTTATTTAATCGAAATATTATACTGCAATTGATAATTTTGATACGCTTGCCAATAATTTAATAAGTGGTTGGGATATTCTGTGCCCTTACTAAGGAATGCAGAGAAAAATTTTGACTAGCACTTAGAATTGTGGAATCAAGGAAAACATAAGGAAATTTGGATAACTATATGGGTTGCAATGATATGGGAAATATGATAATGGAGGAATGAAAATGTATTCAGAGTAGGGAGCAAAACTGAGATGAAAATATTTAAAATGATTAAAATTAAGAGTTGCTTTGACCAATGTATGATAAAAAGGAAAACATGAAGGCTATGAGCTATCTTGTAAAGTGATTAATATTTGTTAAAATAGGCCAGATTATATAAGTATACATATTTTGGAGGGGAATCCCTACATTAAGGAAAATCCACTTAACAATGGGTTATAACTCACATAATATTTTTGTGGATGGAGAATCATTAGACAGAGAGTATTTGACATGTAGACAACCAGGAACCTCTCTTTTGTAATAAAACGATGTAAATTGCATCCCTGGTGCAACAATTTTTAATATATTTTTTTTTGCTGATAAAAAAAATAAAAATTAACTAATTAAATTAATATAAAAATATTTTTCATGTCAATATACTTTTTTTGAAATATAATATATATATAACTCATTTGTTTTTCTTCTCTTCACTTTCAACTCTTTTATTTTTATCTCTTCTTTACGTGAGATCTTTGAACAAGAACTCTCTACTAGGGACGAGCTCAGCCAAAATTGTGAATGCTGTAACTTGCTAAAAATTTGATCAGATTATTTAATTCAATTAAAATCCGAGTAAGACAAAATTAGAACAATATGACATGACTATAATATGATATATGAATTTTGCGATTTTATATAATTAAACAATAAATAAAATAACACATAAAACTTAAATTAAAAAAGGGTTTTATATATATTAAAAAAAACGGATTTACTGTTTTTTTTATTATAATTTAAAGATAGTTAAGAAAAGTCATATTTTTAAGAATATGGGTTGGGCCATATTCATCCGTACACATTGTCCTTCAAGCTTCGCCGTCCGTCCTTTGTTGACACATTGTGGCGGCTTTCGGCCTCTAACCCTGAAAATGAATGAGGTCGACCATGAGCAAAATAATGGGAGAAGTTGTTCCTATAATACGTACATAACAACAAAACTCTCCAATATCCATCTTGCAATAAAAATAATGTCATTTGTTTGTAAATAATGCTCTAGAGTTTCACAAGGAAGTTTATCAATATCAACCTTTTTCTGATGTTGTTGGTTATAGGCAATTAGTTGGCAGGACAAATATTACTTATTCTAAACAACAATTAGTTGCATCAAATATTACATATTCAAGGCTTGTTCTTGTACTCTCATATTACCAGCTTTTCCTTATTCATAATGGATTTGTTATTTAGATACTATAAAATCTATCATCCATTTTTTTTAGTTATAGTTAAAAAGTGGTTAGTTTTTCTTTCATTATTTTCTAATTTTCTTGTATACCTTTATATCAAATTTTGAACTTCTATCTAAAAGACAAATGATTTTTTCTGATAAAAAAACAATGAGAATCCTCTCAAAGTCAAAATACTAAGAATTTGAAGATGATTTACGATATCGGTTAAAATATAGATATTTTATGTCATTGATTCATATGATTAAATTAAGATTGGTGTACTTTTTTAAAGAGGAAAGATGATTTTCAGTGGTTAAATATTAATTAAGTATGATTTTATGATTTATTTGTTTTCTCTTTATCTTTATTATTATTATTATTTTAATTTAATAATCTAAAATGATAATTAATATTAATTATTATATTACGAGAATAAATTAATAATTAGTTTATAAGTTTTATTCCCAATATTATATTCATTTTATTTATATTATATCTTTTAATTTAGTTTAACTTTGATATTTGCTTCTTGTTTGGTTTCATCATAATGTCCAGGACTTGGACAAGTAAAATAAATATTATTTTTTGTATTCCCTACCCCTTAATTGATCATGTGTATTTGTGTACTTTTTTATTTTTTTAATAAACGAGACATAGTATACAGATGAGATGAAATAAAATTATATTTTGGATTTGTTTTTTTTTTTAAAAGGAGTTGTAAGTAAAAATTCTAATTTTCCATAGAATTAAGAACGATGTGCAACAAAAGAAGGAGGAATCTAGTGCTCGTGTTCAGGGAGATTAGTCGAACTCGGAAGGGGCGTGGGGAAAATATATTTGAAAAATAATAAGAGCAGTGTCCCGAGAGGGGATACGTGAGGCTTCGCGCGGTTTTATTTCACCGCATCCAAATACTTTTGTTTTTTCTTCATCCCCTTCCTTCTGCACTCAATTCATTTCGTTCATAAACCCAAACCCAATTTAGGTTTAGAGTCTACACTTTAGAGAAGCAGAAATGGCATCCATGGCGGAGAAACCAGTGCCGAAGCTTAAGCTGAAGCCTCGGCGACTCAAAGGCCACGACGATAGCACAACCTGCTGCATTGCCTCACGCGACCGCTCTCATCTCATTGTCACTTCCGGCGATGTCAGCTCCTTCACTCTCTTCTCCAATTTCCGAACTCCATTTCTCTTGTCTCTATCTTCTATTGCTTCATTTACTAATCACTAGGGTTCAAGATTCATCAATGCTTCACTTTATTTAATCTCTCATTATTATTATTATTATTATTATTATTATTATTATTATTATTATTATTATTATTATTATTATTATTATTATTATTATTATTATTACTATTTCACTGTTTTATAATTTAATTGGTTCTTGCTGTGTATTTTTTATTTAAAAAAAAAAAAAACACACACAGGATGGTCGTGTTTGCTGGTTTGACTTGCGATGCCCTGATGTGCCGCAACTAGTTATGGATGTTAGCGTGGAGCCAGTTTCGTCCTTGTGTTTCAAGTCAGGTCTGTTTCATTTATTGGTCTTGATTTCACTTTTCTATCTTCGTTTTTAATTTGTTATTATGTTTTCAATACGAAGAAGGGTTGTATATAGTGATTTTTTATATTTTATTTTTATTTTGAGCTTATCTGAGACGTAATGTGAAGGTTAGAAGGTAGGATAAAGTGGTGGCAAAGCAGCCTTGTGGGATTTGAACCTGATCAAGTAGAGTAGTAAGAAAATACGTGTTTCCTGTTCTAAGGCTCCTGGGTCTCTGTTGTGAATCTTTGTTTTTGCATTGTGTTGGCAACTGGTTGGAAGTAGTGACATGTTATGGGTAAGTAAATTATACCTGGTGAAGGTTCATGGAACAGGAACTAGTGTCAGCTTGAACAATAATCATCCAGTTTTGCGTGTATTCTTATCTTGAGAGCACGTGATGAGTTTTTGAAGATGAGGAAGCTTCTGTGAGGCTTTAAGAGAGTTTCATTGGTGGGAATGTGATGGAAATTTGCAATTCTTGAAATTGACTGTCTTGTTATATTTGGCTAGGTGGCGTGTTTTGCCATGTGCGTCATATGTATGCACCTTATGTTGTAAGCGTGAGGAAGGATCACTTAAACTCGGTACTAAGTCAAAATTATTCTTAAGCTATTCAATGAGTTTTTATTAAATGCTTTCTTACAAAATCCTTTTAGGTGGAAACTCCCTCTAATCATATGATAACATTTCACATTATTCAATAACTGTTTTGTGCTTTGTTGATGGGTCAATATTAACATAATATTTTTTAAATTATGTTAAAAATATGAACTAATCAACATAATGAATGATTATAATTCAATGGTTGGATTGATAAAAAATATATTTTTATAGAAGCTTATTGGACAGTTAAAGATCGGGTGCATTTAATGCATGCATATTTAGGGGCAGGATAAGCAGAACAGGACATTACAAGTTGTCGAGTCAAAATACAAATATTTTTTCTATCTGCTATTTGATGTAAGAGTTCTGTGCATTGTGCTATTTGATACCGGTAGGTACTGAACATAACAATGCAAACTTTACTATAATACCCTTTGTGCGGTATAAAGTTTCTTTGATGCTTAAAAACTGCATTAAATCTTACTTGATTTCATGCATATGTACTTACAGGAGTATATCAAACTAATGTAATATGATGATGTAGCTTCATCACTCCTTATTACTATGCTAGTCTGGCTCATTTACCATTTAAATGTAATTAGATTAGCCAAATAGTGTTATGGTCTGAGGCAAGAGTAAAAACCATACATTAAACTTCAGTCCTGTTGGCTCCCATCCTAACATCTTAACATCTAAATATAACATGCTTGGGCATTTGTAGAATTTATAACCAGTGGCTGAGATATCATGGTCTCTTTATTGTTGCTATGATTCAAGCCAAAGTGTTGTGAGTGAGCACTATGAATTGATGGCAACAAGCATTTTGCTACATTAACTGATGACCATTGAGATAGCTGCTTGATGTTGGCAGATGTTCAGTTGTGCTCTGCATTTTTCATACGCAGTGGTTTTGGGGAGGGAGGAGTTTATACTGACGAAAAAAGTGGGATTATTTTTGACATTTTGGTAATGTTGTGCATGGGACAAAAAGTTGTACCATGGTTTATGTAGCAAAAATTCTCAGATTCTTGTCCTTTACTTCATCCTTTTTTTATTTGTTGTCTTAAAACCATTTTTGTATCAAACATGGGACAAGTGTTTTTGTACAGTCCAGCAGTTCTTTTTTTCTTTGACAAATCAAACACAGTATTAAGTACAGTAAAATCCCATGACACATCCACCAGATGAGTTTACTTAGTTACATCTTTTAAAAACAATTGACATTTCAATCAGGGATAGAAGATACTATTTATGTCTCCTCTGGAAAGGAAATCAAGGGCTTTGATGTGCGTTTGGTAAGCATTTTATGGTCTTCAAGATTTATGCTTGTTTTTGTCCTTTCTATCTATTTCCTTTTGCAAAATGCTTTTGTTTGCTTTATTAATGCTGTATATATATATATATATATATATATATATATATATATGCAACATCACATTTATTGCATTATTTATTTTCATCTTGAGGATACTGGATATACGTGCATATATAATTATTCTTGATTTATTTTTGCTCCACCTTAATTATTTGTTCTTTAGAAAGATTATTAACCATTATACTGATCCTGTGTTTTGTTGTGTGCTGAAGGCTGCCCAGTGGAAGCCATTGGAGAGTTATAATTACAACAAAGAGGAGATAAACAAGGTAGATATTAGATAGAATGTTATGTGCTTACCAGATCTTTCCGAATGTCCCTTCTGTTTTTTGCTATATAAAAATGAATCAATGTTCTGTTACATTTATTGAAGGTGCTTCTTTTATCGTTTAATTCTGGCTGTCAATAAAGGCTAGCATAACTCAAGTTACTGTTTAGTTCCTGCTGATTTCATTTCTCTCCTATTTCCTACGGTCACTTCACTTGTACTTCTCTATAAGATCAAGCAAATTGGGGATTTCATGTCCTTATGGATAATTTTAAATGATAAAAGATAGTTGTGAATTATGTTGCAAGAGAATGGTTTAAGAGAAATTGCGTGCCTACTGCACACTTAATCCATTATTTACAGATTGATTTCAAGCAATCAATGGAGTGACCAAAGAGATAAATAGAGCTAATTTACAGCGTAATAATCACTATCTAGCTTATATCCTAATCACTAACAATGAGAATAATTATGTTTGACTAAGTTCTGATATTGTAACATTTTACTAATTTTCTAGCACTCCCCTTTAAGGTAGTCTTAGGGTTTGGCAAGTACAGAAGATATAGTGTCTGAGTTGTTTTCTGCAGAAGACCTGCAAAGCTGACTGGTACAGAAGAATGGTAGTTCACTCAGTCCAAGAAACAGAGCTTCTCATGCAAAGCTGACTGGTAGAGGCTTAAAATTCAGTGGCTGGAGATGGGAGGCAAAACTAATTGATGTCTGTCCAAATATAGGACCTAGAAATTGAGGTTGGACAGGAATAAGCTCAAATTAGTGCTGGAGGAGTGGAGGTGTTGCTAGAAGCTGGTGGCTGGATGCAAAAGGTACACACCCTCACATGCTGCTGGCAAGGAAGTTTGTGGCAGGTAGATGGCTGAGTCTTTGCTCGATGGTTTTCCAAACCCATATGCCTGCTTCTAATTTGAGGTCACCAGCACTGGGACAGTCTCCAGTTGCAGGTGGTATGAAGCACAAGTACTTAGTATACTTAAAAGAATTTCCAAAGAGCACCATTGGACTAAACACAACGAACTATATAAGCTAGAAAGTGATGAGTATCTCTCATCCCCTGGGTTGGTATAACCTGTGCTAGATCTGAACTGGGGAGAAGTGAATATGGAAGTTTTCGTGGTGGAGACTAGAGCATGCCTAAAAGGTCAAGACAACCACTGGAATTTCCAGCAGAGTGAATGCAGACACCAAATAAAGGGGTTCCATCTTTTGAACCTGCAGAAAATAGTAATGTAAGTATTTGAGATGGTTACTCCTCAATATCAAGATAACCCTAAACATGTGCTTCTCTTTTGGGCGGGGGGACATTATTCATTAGCCCTCATTGCTGAGGGTCCCAATCCTAAGAATAAGAGTATAAAAGACTCTCTATCCAGCCTAACTGTGGTGTCTCTTGAGGTGCGGTCAACCCTACAGGTGTCGTACATTCAAATGAGATGACTCAAACAGATTAGCTATAATGTGCATTAGATACTTCGATGGTTATGTTAAGCATAGCTCACCTCCTATTACCTTATTCCTCCAAGTTTACAAATCCATAATTGTTGCTTGGATCAAGGCAAATGCAGGTGGCCCAACAATAGATATAGGATAAGCTCTAATGTCATGTTAGAATTTTGAGTTTAGGGTCTAACTCAACCCAATAAAACTAGCTTGTAAGGTAGGGATTGCTCAAACTTTATAAGCTTTATTTAATCAATATCTATAGTCAATGTAGGACTTAACATACCCCTTCAACACTGCAATTATGGAAGCCCAAGGAAGCTGCAACTGAGACAGGTCAAGGTTATCAAAATTAAGGTTGCTTTCCAACAATTGTTTTGTATGGATTTCTTGACCCACACAGGATATTGAAATTATTAAACTAAATTACAGCACTATACTTGAACTCAAAGCTGCCTTTGCATTCCTCCATTCTGTTGTAATATAAAGTTATCAGTTGATGCTATCGCAGGTTAGCTCTTTTGCTAAAAAATGCTGTTATAATTCAATTATCTATCTGGTTTTGCAGGTTGTATGCAACTCAAAGTCCTCATTTCTTGCTGCAGCAGATGATAATGGTGAGGTTAAGGTATGCCTTGTATTAATTCATCTTGTGCTTTCTGTTCTGATAGTATTATCTCATCCATCAGCTCTTAATGAATATATCCTTTCCATGGCCTTATGACAGTGGGGCCTTCAACTAAAGTTTACAAGAGAAAAAAGAAAGGCATTAAGAGTATTGGGAAGGAGAATTCTGTTGGATAAGGAGTGGAGGGGGGGAGGAGTGAGGGGTATTATTGTGGAGGGAATTGTAGGGTGATTGTTGTCACTGGGCAGAGAGCATTTTCTGAGTACTTTTCTATTTGCTTTGTTCTTATATTAACTGGACTGCAATCAAGGCTAGTAGTTCCTTGAATTCCCATCAAAGATTAGTAGTAAATTTCAGTTCTTATCATCTTTCCACTTGTAATGCATTATCATATATGAAAGTCATTGTCTCCTATTCTGATCTGATATCTGAACAATTTCAAAATTTCATGATCGAATAAGTTTCTGATGTGTGAACAGATTGAAGACACACACACACTGAATCAATGAAAGAAAAAATATGTACATACATATCTGAGGCAGTTTGACAGTGTCTTTTCTCTCCCTCCAGTTCCCTCTATCATTTCCATCCTGCATTTTTCTCCTTTTGCCTTATAATCCTTGTTGCCCCTAACAGATTCAATTTCTTTCCTCTAACTACCTAGCCATGGGTGCAGGTCGTTGCTTGGATTCACATTCTTTCCTTGGCATATATGGGGTTTTAATCCCATTTTTCTCATTCCTTTTCTCTGTTTCTATAATCCATATTGGCAATACTACATTTGCTGATATAATGGCATTCATGAGATAATTGGTCTTTGATATTATGCTTGCTGTAAATATTGTTATTCTTTGCAACTTTGGAGAATTCATCAACACTTCAATTTGAAAATTAAAGCGCAGGCTCAACACCTGAAATCTAAACTTTGAAAACCAAGAAAGGTGAGTGATGAATTTTGCAGCTCATCATCAGGATCAAATGATCTCTGATTCTCTTGTTTCCATTGGTGAAACTGTTTGTAGTTGCTCTTGTTAATAGCAACCCAAACTGATTTGATTTTGATAATGTTGCATCTATTCTTCTTGCACAAGAAAGTCACCTTAAAAATAGAAAGTGGTGCTTGATTCTGTTTCTACCTTGAAGTTTATTCAAGCACTAGTTCGGGTCTCTTCTGTTCACAACAAGCTACAACTACTGTTTCTGCACATTAAGCAGATTTTGCTGGCACTAGTTTTCAGCCTGCAAATTCTAACAGTGATAACTCTAGATTTTCCAATAGTTGAGGTGGTCATTCAGGCCACAGAGGAGGAGAAATGGCTGTGGAGATTGTAGCAATATTCAGTCTCAAGTTTGGCTACAATGCCTCATACTGTGATGATAGATTTAATCCAATTATGCACCAATTGAACAAAATTACGCACCTTGGTGGCAGGATTAAATGCCTCCTCCACACACTCCACCTCAGTGCCTGCCTATTACAATGGGAACCCACATTAGTATATTAGTCCTTCCCCACGCCCCATGCCAATACCTCCAGCTGCCATACAACCTATCTTAAGCCTCAAACCAATCAAAGTCTACCCTCCTGGATGCATCTTGTTTCCTTCAATGACATTTACTAAATTTACTGATTGCTGAGCAATATTGATCTATTCTCACATAAGAAACCACAAATATGCATTGTATTCTGCCATAAAACATGGAATATTTTGTGTTGTAATTGATGATGAAAAAATTGATGCCTTTTCTCGTGTAATGTGACTTCCAATTTGTATTCACTTTTAGTTTTCACATTTTTTTAATTTGAGAAAAGCCAAGTTAATATTTTAATTGTACAATTTTCATTTCCTTAATCATTAAGTGAAGTTTCTTTTACAGATAATTGACATTCGCCAGCAATGCCTGTATAAAACACTACGAGCTGGTCATACGAGTGTATCCTTGGATTTTGGCTATGCTTCACTACATGGCTTCTAATTATGTAAATCAGGAGTTTTATCTCAACCCCTAGCCACTAATATTTCATCTTTCCAGGCCCCTTCCCCCCGCACAATTTTTTCTCATTATATTTTGTTTTATAACTGTGATATATTGTAAGAGAGTAGTTCTCAACTGTCCTCAGGGTTAGTTAGCTGTTGGTTACACACTGTATACAATTGTCAGTTGTATAGACTTGTATATATACTCTGTATCTGTATCCTTTAATAACAGAATGCAGTTTTTCTTCTCATAGTTCTCTCTATTTTCTTCTATAACTAGTAATTAATTTGATATTGTTACTTAACCTTGACCTTTATTTTAGATATGTAGCACAGTGGAATTCCTTCCTTGGAGATCTTGGGAAGGTATTTAGTTATAGTCTTGCTTATTTTTTGTGCATAAATGTCTTTGTCTCCTCTCTTCCTCGGTACAATTCCTTGTTTCCAATGAGGATAGGTTTCTTTAGATAAACTTGTCCAAAAGCACTTATAAGAGAAACGAAAAAGAAAAAAAAAAAATCTTCTTGAGTTAAATTTATCTTATGCATTAGTTTAAAAGCTCAACTTGTGAAAAAGTTAGTGAGAGAACTTCTATAAATTAATGTATACATAAGCTAATTCTAGTTTGTGGAGATGCTTTTTTCATTTTTCCTTCTTATTTTCTTCTTCTCTAAGTACTTCTGAAAATGTTTATCTCAACAGACCTTGAAATATGGCTATGTCTAGAGTAGATATGTGAGTTGTCCTTGTAGGCTTTTTATCGTGTTAGAGAGAATATTAATTATCTTATGGGAAATGTATGTAGAAATTTGTCTCAAACTCACCATACTAACTAACCATGAAGAATGCAATTGTTGGGAGAGTCTAATCATCGCTCGTGACATGCTTGAGGCACTTTAGTCTCATAATGATGTATAATAATAAAAATGTTACATGTTGACAAAAATTTTTGTTTGCTTTGGATTCCTTCGTAAATGTTACCCTCTCCATCTTACAATGTAAGGTTTCTTTCACAGATTAAGGATATCACTAAATATATCACTTTTTGCGAATATTGTGCTAAAATAAAACTACCTTTTAGAACGTGAATTTGAACTTAATTTAACCCTATAAAACCGTGGGGTTTATCTTCACTTACATATATAATTTTATGTAGATGTAGGATCTCCAATACTACTCAATGAATACAGAACTTATATTGAGACTAAGAGAGTAACAAATTTGGAGACAAATTAGGAATAAAAAAGTTAATGATTGATTGGAAAGAGAGAACTTCAGTCAATTTGGATTTTTAAGTCTATGTAAAAGAGAGAAAAATATATGGACCATACCAATTAGTCCATATATAAGTTGATTCAATAAATACAAGTAACTATAGGATATTTTATTTCTATATACATGATATAATATGTCTACAAATCATATTCTAATAAACTGATTCTAGTAAGATACTTATGTTAGAAATAGGATTTGACCTTAACTCTCCCTACAAAATCTCAGCTTGTAAGGTAAAATTTGTACTCCATTTATATACTATAATTTGATCATATTTTTTAGTCGATGTGTGATTTTTAACACACCATCACACATTGAGGACTCGACATCTTGAGCGGTTAACTAGATATTTGGGTGGTCTAGTAATGGCTTGATAGCATGTGAAGTGATAGACTCAATCATCTTCACTAAAATAAGCTTTGATACTATATTAGAAAGTAGATTTTAGCCTAATTCAACTCTACCAAACTAGCTTGTAGAGTGAGGTTAACATGTCACTTTTATATTATAATTTGATCATATTTCTAATTGATGTAAGATTTTCAATATTTCATATAATCATAAAGATGCTAATAAAATTAGAAAAAAAAAATCAAAATATAAAAGAAGAAAAAATATAAGAGATTATATAAGATACTTTAAAATAATATCTTCAGATATTTTTATTATTTCTATTAACCTAAACTGCTGTCATTTTTGGGAAGGAAGGAGTATTAATTTTCTGATTTCTCATTTCTGATTGTAATTTAGCTTTGTGCTACTTTTTAACCCCAAACAACTTATTTCGTGAACTCATCAATAGTAACAATATAATACACATGTATACTCGATGGATTTAAACTGTTGTTGTTAGAAGGTAAGAAAAATTTTATGTAGCAAAGTTACAAAAAAAATATGTAGAGCCCTAAGACTTACGAATTGGATATATTAATCAAAAGAATTTGAACAGGCGCAAGATTCTATTTAAAATGAAATTTTGGAAACTAGTTAAAGCCTATAGGGTTTTTCAATGATAGCCCCATTTGTTTGTGTAAGTTTCATAGAACTTGGATTCATATCTGTAGAAAGTTGACTCCATTTTTATTGATGTTTTTTTCCCAGTCATAAGTGGAGGTCTTGATTCAATGCTCATGTTGTGGGACTTCTCCAAAGGGCGCCCCTACAAAGTAGTGGACTTCGGTATAAATATCTGACTTTAAAGTTTTGTATGAGATGGCTTGAATTATCTAAATTGAAGTCTTCTTTAGTTTTTTAACATTTGATTTTTGCAATGTCTTTAAGTCCTCAAATCTCTTGTCTCTACCTTTTTAAAGTGCATTTAGCAAAAGGAGGCAACGATAATGATTGTTTTTAATTATGTTCAAAGGCTTTTGCAACCATAGTCACCCTTGACCTTGATTCTACAGCCGATAAAAACAAAAGGTTAGGCCACTTAAAAGTATTTTACAAATGAAATAAAACATGAAAATGTTGTTTAGTGACTAGTGACCTTAGAGAATGCAAGTCACAAGCGAGTAGGTTTTGAAGAAACCAAATATGTTAAAACCTGGCAGTTTTTGATATCTGCATACATGAGGCTTGCATGTATGTGCTTAGATAATAACTGAACTAGCAGCTGACACCTAGTGCAAAATGATCCTTTTGCTATTTTTGTCTTTTTAGTTTTGGAATTGAAACTATATTTTACATGGAGCTATTTTCTTTTATTTACTTTTGCAAAACTACACACTCCGAAAAATGATAAGAGTATGATTGACATGAAATGAAGGGAAAACATAATTTAATAAACAAGTGAAAGAAGAACTACTAATTTGTTACCTTTCTTTGTTGCAGCTACATTTGATGTGAGTAGTAGCATAGCTGGCAGGTGTGTCAATCCTGCTTTTGTTCATGCAATAGCTGTTCCAGAAGTTGATATGCTAGATAAGTTAGACAAAATATGTGCTGTTGCAAGGGGTGATGGAGCTATTAATGTGATTAATATCGAAACAGAAATGGCTTCTACAAAGTCTAAAAGCTCTTCAAGTTCTCGAAAAGGATCACACTCAAGATCAAAAGATGGTAGTTCATCTAGCAATACAGAGGCAGATCAAAATGCAAAAAAGAGGTTACATTTGGATTACTCTTTAGGTGGCCATACTGCGGCTATTTCCAGCCTGTAAGTCCATTATCTATCTGCAATATAACAACTGTAATGCCAAATTCACGAATGACTTGTCTCCTAACTCATGTGGGTGACAGGGCATTTTCGTTGTTTGGGGAAAGAGGGAAATTCTTGATATCTGGAGGAAATGATAAGTTGGTGAAGGTATGGAATTGGTCCCGTTATCTAGATGCTGGGTTAAGTGAGGATGACAAGAATGATATCCTACATTTGAACATTGAAGTACCTCGAAAAGTGAGTTTTTGTAATCACAATTTCACTGGAAAACTTTTCGATGTTGGTTAGTTGTTCTGCTTATGCTAAATGTCTATTATACATTCATTTGTACACTTTATTTGGCAGGTCAATTGGCTGTGTACCACCTCAGCTGATACAGACAACCTTGTTGTGTGTGACACGTCTAAAGTAGTAAAAGTCTACTCCATAACATAGTTTAAAGCTAGACGTCAGAAATTCTTGGAACGTGCATTCTTGGAGAGCAATCGAAACCTAAAATGACTGAAATTGTTATGTTGAACTTACTCTGAAGATCTTGCTCCTGACCTAAGACGGTCTAAAAGCACAAAGCTCTTAGCCTAGATGCGTGCTTTGCTATTTTCTCCCTGATTCAATGCCTACGGGAACTGTTCAATGATTCCCTATACTTGCTCATTTACATGGTGTGGTTTATGCCATGTTTACATGCACTTTAACATCCTTCATGTTATTTTGCCTACCTCAATTTCATGTATACTTTACTTCTGTTAGAAGTGAAGCTAGTCTTGTATTCTTTGTGCAAATTTAGTTGTCTTATTACATTTAGGTTGACCGCGTTCGAATAATTTTTAGTGAACTCTGATTGAAGTAACTTATTCTACTGTACATTAACAAGCTAAATTGCTATATAGAATGCATAAAGAAAACTAACCTTGATATTTGCATATTATTTTTCGATGGAAATTTTACTCCATTGTAATTTGTGTAAAGGAATTGTTATGATATCTCTGCACAATAAACCCACTCGGACTCTACGATCATCAAATTTATGCCCAGAGTTTATACATATGTCATCCATTATAATCGAAAAAGTATTTTAAATTAGTTTGTGAATGCACTATTATCTGAATTTGGCCTTGTTTGTCTGTCACTATTTCATAATACCGTCACTTGTTAGAACACTGAAGTATGGGAGTCGAATTGAAAATGAATGAAATGAACGTCGTTAAAGATTTTGTAAGAATGTTTAGATTTTATTTTAGTTCTAAACGTGATACTTATTTCTAAATATTTGGATTAAAAAGTAAAAATAATAAGCAAAGTAATTTTTATATTTTTAATATACTTTTTTTACAAAAAAAAAGACAAAGTTGTTATATTAAACGTGAAAATAAGAAATATATAGAAAATAACATTTTGTCGAAGTGCACAATCTCTAGTATCATAAGTCTTTTAATACACTAATTATTTTAATTTACATATATATGTTAAAATAATCTTAGCTTTGATTTGGAGAAATTCATCTATATATAATTTTAGAAAAGAAAAAAAACAACTTATTTTAGTTTAGTTAAATATGAACTAATTTTGTAAAAAAAAATCAAAATGCGATTTTCAACTTATATAATTTTAATTAATGAAAAAACTAATTTAACTTTTTTTAAGAGATTTTTCTTGTGAAAAAAAATCCAAAATGTTAAATATTAATATGCTAACGGACTGACTGACATCGAATCGTGATATTGAGAATGGTTAATGACGTCCATTGGAGTTAACTTTCATGGGAGGATTAAAAATTGTGTTTAAAAATGAAAATGTATTTTAAGATATTTAATATTTCTGAGGATGATGTGTTGTATTGTATCAATTCTGGTTTCAATAATTTGCAGGAGAAAGGGCATATTCGATGTATAACGTTTGAGCAACATAGAATTGAAATATATTTATAGCTAGCGACAAACAAACCAACTGATGTAAAGTTTTTCATTTAAAGTTGCAAAATTAGAGATAATTAAATCAAGCTTATTGAATTATTTGAAGCATAGAATCAAAAATAAATGTATGAAAATGATTAGATGAGTTCAATTTAAAAATTAAGCGTGGAGTTACTTACGATACAAAGTTTAAGTTATATATATATATATATATATATATATATATATATATATATATATATATATATATATATATATATATTAAAAGAAAACTTAGCTAACTATTATTTAAAAAAAATTATTATTATTATTATACACTATTTTACATTAAAGTCATAAAGTTGTGTCTTAATTTATTTATCTAATATAACAAGAAAAAATAGATTTAGTGACAGATAAAATCTGTCGATAATTAGATTAGTATTAGACAAAATCCACCAAAAAATTACCTATATATAATTAATGAAAAAAGTTCATAAAAAATGTCTATGTTTAGATATATTATTGACAGATTTAAGTTAGTGGATAATTACCAATAAATATATCGTATAAAAAATGTTGTGAGTAATTATTGTCGATAATTATACATAAATATATTTAAATTTAAAATAAGATGAGGGTTGCTTTTTATGACAGTTCAATCCATTACTTCTACATTCAAAATTTGTATTATCTCCATAACCCATTCTTATTACAATGTGTTCACTCAGAAATAAAAATACTGAAATTTTTTTGAATAAGAGGAGAGGAAAAACACAAGTAAGTGGAATTTGTTTTGGCAGGAAAGCAAATGGAACCAAAATAGAAATATAGAAAAATACGAAGTTTATTGGTTCTTTATATTCTATAATAAATTTTTGTGATTAAAATTTATCAAAAGTTATAAGATATTTGTTTTTGTTTAAAAGGTAATTTTCATTACTATACTTTAATAAAGAGGTTCAGGAAATAATTATCGAATGCATGGATCAATTGCCTGTACTTCTAAAGTTAACATATTCAACTGACGCAACTCACTCAGCTGTCAACTGAAGCCTCCTTTACACTTCCTGCAATAATTTGATATATTTCTCACTTCACCCAAAAAATAGACGTTGCTTTTCTTCTCTGAGGCTTCATAGTCTTATGTTGTGTACCACTTAAACCATGACACCAACTCTCCAACTTCACAAAAAGAACCCACCACCACCACCTCCACCATGCGCATCCTTTGCATTTCTACACAGTTGCTTTCTCTACCCTTCAAAGGGTTTATGGTCTTTCATATAAAATGCATATGATCACGGATTCAGAAGCAAAGGGTCAGTGAGGATATACTGCCATTTCGGCCCTTTGATAGAAGGTGGTGCAAAACCAAAAGATGGTGCAGTCTGATGCTCCCCTCTGCAATACATGTGGGGAACAAGTGGGACTTAATGATAATGGGGAGGTGTTTGTGGCTTGTCGCGAATGCAATTTCCCAATTTGCAAGGATTGTTTTGAGCATGAGATCAATGAGGATCATAGAGTCTGCATGAAGTGTGGCACTCCGTATGAAGGTAAACCCTTTAATGTCTACATTTTTTGAGTTGCTTTGTCTACTATGTGGATTTGTTGCTCTCGTCATGCTCCCCATTTCATCTCCATGTAATGGTATTCGAAACTGATCTTAGGAGGCTTATTGCATTTAAAGAATCATTGAACAAAGTAATAGAATATTAGTTTTAATTTGTGAGAAAGAGGCAAAGAAAAGTATTTAGCATTGTTTAATTTATCTATAAATTTTTTAAATAACTGTTTTCTGATTTTTTTTTCTCATTCACTTGAGTAAAATTATTTCAAAAAGTTGTTTACATTTTGAAACATCCTTAGTTGTTTTCTTTCCCCCTTTTGTATATATTTTAGAGAGAACAAAGGAGGAGGAGGAGGAGGAGGATTTCCATGAGATAGAAGTTCACGAAAATCAATCCACAATGGCTTCCGAAATCAGTAACCCTCAGGTGATGGTTTACTAGGAACTATTAGTAGCACAAATACTAAATAGCCTTAGCTTTTAGGAAAAAGAGCAATTTTTGGAATATTGTTTTAGTTGTTTGCATTTGCACTTACAGTCACACCTTCAATTTTGCAGGATGTTGGACTCCACGCTAGACATGTCAGTTCAGTATCCACGGTTGATAGTGGTATGTGAGTGAGACTTCAGACTATATTTTCTTGTACAATTTCTTTAGAAATAAGCATTGATCATTATAATATGGTTCTTCTTGTAGAAGTAAATGAAGAATCTGGGAAATCATTTTGGAAAAGTAGAGTTGAAAGCTGGAAGGGAAAGGATAAAAAAAACAAGAAGAAAAAGACTGCACCAAAGGTAGAAAATGAGGCTTCCGTTCCACCAGAGCAGCAGATGGAAGAAACACGGTGAGTTCGATGAGAAATTACTCAAATTTCCTGAGACGGACAATAAAATGTAATATTTAATCTAGCAGTTTTTAAAATTTAACAAAAAAATTTCAGACTTTAATTAGATTAACGTTAAGGGAAGCTATAGAATAGATGCCTTGTACATCACGCTCAGGGTGAGAGATGTTTAATTTGATGCACTGAATCAGGAAAAAGAAAAATTGATTAACTAGCAAGTCCTGTGAGAAAGCATACATTTTCCAAGGTAATACTGTCTTATAGTTATAAGGTGAAATCTAAATATATAAACATTTCAACATTTCATCCTCCTAATGAGAGATGAAGAATCAATGGAAGACATTTTTTTTTACTATTTCAACTGTCAAAAGCTGATGGGCATGAGAACCACTTTAACCATTGTCTTTACTCTTCATTGAATTGAAAATGTAATTTTACCAGCTATTTTATCAAGTCAAAATTGTATATTTTTGGCCTGCGTATAATAATTGCTGATGACCATTCACTAAGTTGTTACTGACCATCTGGTTGCACTTGCAATACTATTGATTTCATTTTTACATTTCATGTATTTATGACTAACAATTCTCATTGATTGACAATTTGTCATAAAATTGATATATTCATTATATAATTCACATGGTGATATTTTGCAGGCCCACAGAAGCTGCTTCTGCGCCACTTTCAGTAATTATTCCAATGTCAAGATCCAAAATTGCACCTTACAGAACTGTGATAATAATGCGATTGATAATATTGGGTTTTTTCTTCCATTATCGAGTTACAAACCCCGTTGATAGTGCTTTTCCTCTGTGGTTGACATCTATCATCTGTGAGATCTGGTTTGCATTTTCATGGGTGCTAGATCAGTTCCCTAAATGGTGTCCTGTCAATAGGCAAACTTTTATTGACAATCTGTCTGCAAGGTAAATGCACCAAATATTGAGATATTTGGATATGTATTGTGCCTTGTTCTTTAAGATTGCAGTAAAATGAACTAATGAAATTAATATTTAATCCAATTACTCCTATGTAAAAAGTTCTGTATGATGAATGTGATCATGTGTTGTCACATCATTGAATAATTTTGTCTATGATGAGTTGATAATTTTTTGGTAATGAGTCAAATGCTTGTAATAATATGGCAACATATTATTAGGGGAGAGTGGAAGTTTTACTCGTAGTCAAAGTTATATCCATATAATAAAGTAATATTGAGAAGACACTTCTACCATGCCATGCCAGATTTGAAAGAGAGGGTGAGCCCAATGAACTTGCTGCTGTTGATTTCTTTGTCAGTACAGTCGATCCGTTGAAAGAGCCACCATTGATCACTGCTAATACAGTGCTCTCTATCCTTGCGGTTGACTATCCAGTAGATAAAGTATCGTGCTATGTGTCAGATGATGGTGCTGCAATGCTCACATTCGAATCTCTTGTGGAGACTGCTGACTTTGCAAGGAAGTGGGTTCCGTTTTGCAAGAAGTTTTCAATTGAACCAAGAGCACCTGAGTTTTACTTCTCTCAGAAGATTGACTACCTGAAGGACAAGGTGCAACCTTCTTTCGTGAAGGAGCGTAGAGCAATGAAGGTATGTGTGTAAAGCTTCCTACTTGAGACTTCGCTGAGAGAACTGCTTTGATAATTAGATATATCTGATTTAGTTGTATTCACACCTTGTTTTTCTAACCTCTTCATGATTGATAACTTTAAATTCTGCCAGAGAGATTATGAAGAGTATAAAGTACGAGTTAATGCTTTGGTAGCTAAGGCTCAGAAAACACCAGACGAAGGATGGACTATGCAAGATGGTACACCTTGGCCGGGAAATAACTCACGTGATCACCCTGGCATGATTCAGGTATATCCGTTATTACTGTGTAATCAACTCTCAATGTTGATAGAGATAGGCATAAAGAAAATTACACTGTAACATTCTGTGTGAAAAAATTGTTGACCTTTTATGTTCATAAGATTGACTAGTTAAGTTCTATCAAACAATTATTGGTACATGTTCAAGTAATACTTTAAGCAAAATTTATGTTTACCATTTCAAGGTTTTTCTTGGACACACTGGTGCCCGTGACACAGAAGGAAATGAACTTCCAAGGCTGGTTTATGTCTCCAGAGAGAAAAGACCAGGTTACCAACATCACAAGAAAGCTGGTGCTGAAAATGCACTGGTATGTGTAGATAGTTCACTAATATTTCGTAAGGCTAATAAGATTTTATAATGCTTCATGTTTGTATGGATTTATGCAGGTGAGAGTGTCTGCAGTTCTCACAAATGCTCCCTTCATTCTCAATCTTGACTGTGATCATTATGTTAACAACAGCAAAGCCGTTCGGGAAGCAATGTGTTTTCTCATGGATCCACAAGTTGGTAGAGATGTGTGTTATGTGCAGTTCCCCCAAAGATTTGACGGTATTGATCGTAGTGATCGATATGCCAATCGCAATACAGTTTTCTTTGATGTAAGTTAATTTCAATGCAAGATTTCATCTAGGGTCAATAGAGAAGTGGAATCTCCTTATGTGGCAGAAACTTCAAACAATTATTTGTAGAAATACTCGCCTAATTTTTCTATGTTTTGTGATCAAGAGTCCAATTCTTTTGCATTTATTCTGTTCCTATGTCCTGATTGTCTGATTGTCAGCATTATTAATGTGAAGATTTCACCAAATACACACAGAGTGCATTCATGCTATGCAGTAACTTTCAACAATCCTGAAGCAAAAATCACGGACACAACTCTCTACTTCCCAACCCTCATCTCTATTTGATGATCTTTAATTGTTCATTTCAGGTTAACATGAAAGGACTTGATGGCATCCAAGGACCAGTATATGTGGGGACTGGATGTGTTTTCAATAGACAAGCACTTTACGGCTATAGCCCTCCTTCTATGTCCAGCTTACCAAGATCATCATGCTGTTGCTGCCCCTCAAAGAAGTCCACCACAGATGGCGTTCACAGAAACGCAAAGCGGGAAGAACTTGAAGCTGCCATTTATAATCTCAAGGAGATTGACAGTAAGCTCAGTTTTTTTGTTTTTTTCAATAAGTTTTAAAGAAGCATATACCACAATCTTCTGTGCAATATTCTTCTGGTTTCTTTTCTTCTTGCAGATTATGACGACCATGAGAGGTCAATGCTGATTTCACAGATGAGCTTTGAAAAAACTTTTGGCTTGTCTACTATTTTCATTGAATCTACACTAATGGAGAACGGAGGAGTGCCTGAATCTGCAGATCCCTCAATGCTGATCAAGGAGGCCATTCATGTAATTAGCTGTGGATATGAAGAAAAGACTGAATGGGGAAAAGAGGTTTGGCTTAAATATTAGATTTTTTGGTACCAAGTGTTTATTCACGTTCTTAGTTTCCTATTCCCTTTTCAAATGATATTTTTGTTAATGTACTTGTACCATTTAGAATATCATTCTAGATTCATTACCTTCACTTTTTTACTCGTAATTGCTTCGTTGATTAAATAAAGCATCTTCTTGTCTTTTCAGATTGGCTGGATTTACGGTTCAGTAACTGAGGATATCTTAACGGGGTTCAAGATGCAATGCCGAGGATGGAAATCAATTTACTGCATGCCTTTGAGGCCTGCATTCAAAGGGTCTGCACCTATCAATCTGTCTGATAGATTGCACCAAGTCCTTCGATGGGCACTTGGATCAGTTGAAATTTTCCTAAGTAGACACTGTCCCCTCTGGTATGGATTTGCCGGAGGTCGTCTCAAATGGCTGCAGAGAATGGCTTATATAAACACCATCGTCTACCCTTTTACATCCCTTCCTCTCATCGCTTATTGTTGTTTGCCAGCAATTTGTCTCCTCACAGGAAAATTTATCATACCAACGGTAATTTCCTCGGCTTTACTTTTGTTAGAAATGTTATCTATTGAATTTAATCCCCCTGGTTCATCTGTAATTGTCCTATGAAAAATAAATTATTGTGAAACACAAGGAAAGAAGTTTTTATTTCTAATCACCAATGTCTTACATCCCGTTGTTCTATACGATTTGACACAGCTTTCCAACGTTGCAAGCGTTCTCTTTCTTGGACTTTTTCTCTCAATTATAGTAACCAGTGTGCTTGAGCTGCGCTGGAGTGGTGTTAGTATCGAAGATTTGTGGCGTAATGAACAGTTCTGGGTGATTGGAGGTGTTTCAGCCCATCTATTTGCTGTGTTCCAAGGATTTCTAAAGATGCTGGCTGGTGTTGACACCAACTTCACTGTCACTGCTAAGGCTGCAGAAGACGGCGAGTTTGGTGAACTTTACCTTGTCAAGTGGACTACTCTCTTGATTCCACCAACAACCCTTATCATTGTTAACATGGTTGGTGTTGTTGCTGGATTCTCCGACGCACTTAATGGGGGTTACGAATCTTGGGGACCCCTCTTTGGTAAAGTGTTCTTTGCTTTCTGGGTGATTTTTCATCTCTATCCATTCCTCAAAGGTCTCATGGGTCGCCAAAACCGCACGCCAACCATTGTTGTTCTGTGGTCAGTGTTGCTGGCCTCTGTCTTCTCTCTTATTTGGGTCAAGATAAATCCATTTGTGAACAAAGTTGACAGTGAAACTATCTCCGAGACCTGCATTGCCATAGATTGTTAAGTCACTACAAGAATGCTTACCAAGAGTTTCTGCAAATTTCAATATGTAAAAGGGTGCATACAGCTTGTGAAAATTATATAAGCATTACTGTTATTAGTTTTTTCGTGGGACTTATAGCCATTTTGAACTGAATGGAAAATCTGTAAGCATTATATTATTTATGAACGTGAAAAATAGAGATTTTTGCTGTCTATTGAAAACTTGAATTCATGTTGTTGTCCAATTTCTTGACACTGTCTCCATCACCGTGACAAGATTACCATATTTCTCGCATATTTGTCTACCAAGCTATGACTCACCTATTTTCGTTGCCTATAACTCACCACCATTACAATATTGGATAAACCTGTACTTCAAACTTTCTTGCTATTAGCAGGACTCATCTTTTCCCAGCCTCCCAGATTTTTATAAAAAGGAAAATATATTTATCAACAGGTGAACATTTTCATTTTTAGTTTTTTATTTTTTTTTACTTTTCTTTATACTTTTAAGTCTTTGATTTAAAACACGTTTAATTTTCATTTTAAAAATACGAGCATAATATGTCTATTACGAATATTTTTTATGATGCAGTCGTTGCAAAAGATAAAAAAAAAAGTCTAATAAAAGGATGTCCTACATACAGTATTGACGTAGTTTCAAAGGGTTTTTAAAAATAATTATTATCCATTTTCTTTTGATAGAAGAAATAAAGATCATAAGTAATATATGAAACGTAAGAATAGCGAAAGTAAGATGACAAAATAACGTTGAAAAAGAGAGAGAGAAAGAGAACAAATATCCATTTTTATTCTTCTCCCTTGTCTGACTGAAAAGTGAAAACCATTGTGGTGGTGGACATGATAATGAAGACTAGTTATCAATATCAGAAATGAATAAGAGTATTGGTTAAAGAGAGAGTGATGAAAGTGGAACCGTGGAACCCCAATATAAGAGCTGGATCCCACTCACACTGTTCTAATTCAGATGAAAAGTTCTGAACCCAATTTCTCGTTCCAACTAAACTCACTCTATTTTACTCCTCTGTGCTCACTGACCCTCACTACCCAATAGTTTGCCATGAAAAAACTACTCACCATTCTCCTCTTCTTCCTCCACACCATGACCATCTCACTCTGTGAACCCCTTGACCCGAAGCAAGTGAAGGCCCTCCAATCCCTCAATATCCCCACGGCCAAAGACCCATGCTCCCAACCCTCCTTACTCTGCGACACCTCCACACCCTTCCGCCACCTTACCACCCTCCAACTCTCCAACTGCACCTCTCCCCACCTCTCCCTCTCCTTCGCAGCCCTCAAATCCCTCTCCACCCTCCACACCCTCCTCCTCTTCAACTGCCCCTTCACCCCCTCCCCCACGCGCTTCCCTCCCCAACTCGCCTCCACGCTCCGCTCCCTCACCTCCGTCAACAGCCTCCGCAACATCTCCGCTGTCTCCCTCTCACGCCTCAAAAACCTCACCCACCTCACTCTCTCCAACCTCACCATCAAAGCCTCCGCTCCCTACGTTCTCCTCTCCCACATGTCCGACCTCCAAACCCTGACCATTTCCCACGCCAACCTCGCCGGCTCTCTCCCTAAACGCATCCACTCTCCCAACCTTACCTACATTGATCTTTCTTTCAACAACCTCCGAGGAAACATACCCCCGTCCATCACCATGTTGGACACCCTCCAACTTTTGAACCTTTCTTTTAATCAACTCAAGGGTGAGATACCCTCTTCCATTGGGGACCTCATTTCGCTGAAAAACCTCTCCTTGGCTTTCAACTCCTTCTGGGGCTCTGTTCCTGACTCCTTGTCTGCTATACCCGGTTTGGTTCACTTGGATCTCAGTTCCAACCAGCTCAATGGGACCATCCCAGCGTTCATTTCCCAAATGAGTAACCTCAAACACTTGAACCTCGCTAACAACCTCCTTCACGGGGTTGTGCCTTTCAACTCCACTTTTATCGAGAAGTTGCAAGTTTTCAAGGTGGGTGGCAACGGGAACTTGTGTTATAACCGTTCGGTTTTGTCTTCCAAGTTGAAGCTGGACATTGCTCCTTGCGATAAGTTCGGGAGGCCGGTGTCTCCTCCACCCTCTACGCGTTCTTCTGCGGATGATAGCAGCAGCGGTGAAGATTATGATGAGGGTGATTATGATGATGATGGTAGCAGTGTTATTCATAAGAAGGAGCATCATCATGGACCCAACAAGGTAGTTCTTGGGGTGGCCATAGCGCTATCTTCCATGGTCTTTCTCATTGTTTTTCTAATCCTGTCTTCCAAGTGCTGTCGCTGAGAAAAGTTTTGGTTTCTGAACGAAAGAGTGGGAATTTTGGTAATTTATTTCAAATGGTTCGTTGTTCGATTCATTAATTTATGATGCAAAGAGGACTGTAGATGGTGCAGAGGGAGAGTTGAAGAGAAATGAGAGATTGTCAAAATGAAAGGTGGCACCAGAGAGAATCATGAGAGGAAAAATGTTGATCATTTAAATTAATGTTCAGTTTTTGTTTCATTTGGTATTTAATCGATTTCTTGTGCAGTGCAATGATTTGTATACGAGGAGTGATGATGGTCTCTGCCACTTTTGTAATTAGCTGTTTATGAGTAGAAAGAGGTGCATGTGGTGTCCAGAAAGATGCGATTAACTTGTGCTTTAAGCACTTATTTCTCACACTTTCATTGTTTCCATCACACTTTTGTTCATTGTGCCACGCTTTCATAACTCTCCCAAATAAACTTTGAGGAGCACAAGCTCATTTTCCTTTTTCTTAAATAAACCTGGAGGTGCACTATTTCATTCAGTTTTTTATCAAGTAAACTTTGAGGAGGGTTAGTGTGAATAAATAATTTTTTAATGTTTTTTCATATGTTATTTCTTCGCGTTGAAAATATAAAGTCTAAATCTAAAATAATTTTAATTGTTGTATTAAAATTTAAAAAAAATATATATTTGAAAACTGAAATGAAAATCAATGTCTGGGTAAGGACTGCATTTTTATTTTAACATAGAAACCTAATTAATAAGTACTTATATCAGTTTTTCAACAGAGGAACAAGCACGTGAAACTTTTTGAGAGAAAAACAACTATTTTTCCATGGATGCTATTAGATTCTCTTCAGTCACAGAGAGAACGTAAGAATATTTACCTATATAAATTGATTTTTCAAACTTTCAAAAGCTAATAAAATGAAAATACAAAGTCAGAAAAAATACTGCAATAAAAATATAAAGTCCTTAATTTTCTTTGTACCATGCCACTTGAAAAAAAGAAGAAGGAAAGTAACTGTATCTGACTTTTGAGGAAGACAAAAAGTGTCTAATGTCATTTGTTTCATGCGCTGCTTTGTTCTAATTTATCCATAGATAGTAGAAAAGAAAAGAAGGGAAATACAATTATATAAAACAATAATTTTTTGGTATAAAAGAAAATAAGAGAGCTTTTTTTTTTCTTTTTTCCAATTTAGGAACAACGTAAGAATAAAAGGTTTGAAGTCAATAGATTATTAATTATACCTTTAATGAAAATAATGAATACCAAAAATATTTTTAAATTTTATTTCCTGAAATAAAAAATAAAAAGTAAATTAATATTTAATATTTAAAAATTTTACCGCTAAATAATCTGTCTTTTTTTCTTCTCATTCACAACTCTTTTTCCTTCTTTTTTTCATTTATTCATAGTATAATAGAATTCATGATAAATAATAAAAACAAGTTTCTGTTTTACATTTTTGGTTTTATTTATAGATGAAACAACTATTTAAAATGTAGGTTAATTTTGTTGTAATATTTACGTTTTAGATTTTGTTCTCTTTATGATACCTTTTTGTACTTGAGCTATTTATGTAATTTTCATCAATATACTTATCTACTTTCTCTTTTTTACCTTACTAAATAATTAAACAATTATCTAATTTTCTATTTTTTATAACTTTTTCACTATATTTTTTTTCCTTTATTTTGTTTATAAATCAAGCAAATGTAATTCTGTCAAAGAATTTGTAAATTTAATAGTTCATATTGTTTAAATAAATTATAACATTTTTCTATTTGCATTTCCTGTACTATGTAATTTCCCTAAAATATCACATGTGTTGATTCGACCGTTGCTTTTATTTCTGGTCCTGGTGTATACATATTGGTAAAATATAGTGATGCCATTGTTAATTTAACTTTGAGAAAGAAGTTTTGTTAACTTGAGTAGGATCTAGGAGAGCAGCAACACTGAGTTGGTGATGTTGGATTACATGATTTGGTAAGTAGAGAATAATAAATTAGGGATGACAATTAAACCCATTCCGGTGGGGACCGATCAGTCCTCGCCCCGAGTTTGACGGAGAAAATCCGAGTTGACCGGGGGCGGGGGCGGGTTCGAGTCCCCGCTTTAAAAAATCGGGGCGGGGGCAGGGATGGGTAATGCAATTACCACCCCGACCCCGGCTCCGCCCCGACTTTATATTTAAATTTAAATTTTAAAATATTAATATTTTAAAAGTATTTTCTTTTCTTTTTCTATTACATATAAGGTCATTTTTTTATATTTTACCAATTTTTATTTTTCTTCTACCTATTTTTTAATTTTTTTGTCTTTTTTAATCTTTTATATCAATTAATTTATTATATTATTCTCTCTTATACCTTGTAGTTTTTCATATTTTCTTAATCTCTCTCATCAATTTGTTTTTTTTTTCAATCTTTTCAATCAATTTGATGAACACGAGTTAATTTTTTTATTCTTTATTTTTTTCTAAATATTTTACATAAATCTTAATAGTAACTAATATTATTTTATTTATAATTTATATTTATTAAGTTTTATTATGTCATTTGTTTATCTTATTATTCTTATTTATCATATATTAAATTTTATCTTAATAAAATAATTGTATTTTAAAGGATTAAAGGTATTGATAATTTAAACTTTTATTACTTTGAATTAATTGAATAATAATTAACTTATTAAATATTTCATTATAAACTATATATTTCATATTTTTAAATTACAACTTAAAAATGAATTAACTTATATATATATATATATATATATATATATATATATATATATATATATATATATAATCAAATGTTTGAATACACTATTATAATAATAATGATAATGTTATAAGTATTCAAATATTTGAATACAGTATTATAATAATAATAATAATGTTATAAATAAAAAATAATTAAATATTTCTTTTACATACATATTTTAATATAAATATAATAAATTAAAATGTATATTTAATTAATAATTATTATAAATTATAAATATTTATTTATATATAAAAAATAGATAGTAAAATTAGTTTATTATAAATGTAATTATCTTTTTAAAAATAATATAGATCGGGGACGAGGCGGGACGGGAACCCGAAACCCAACGGGGATGGGGATGGAGACTTAATTTCTAACTCCGGCGAGGATCGAGGGCGGGGACGGGGATGATTAAAAAGTCGCGGACGGGGATCGGGGAGGCAAAACCCGCCCTGCCCCGTTGTCATGCCTAAAATGCATGGTTGTGGATGAATTATGATGTCCATGCTGATTTTTATTGTTCATGGTTTGATATATGAGCCTTCCATCATTCCTTATTAAGTTATTTAAATTAACTAGTTTGTCTAGTTGAAGAGATTATGCCAGAACTCATTTTATCTTATTAACTATTTTGCTTTTATTCTTTATTATCTTTTTCGTACAAATATACATACATGTAACTCTTGATGAAAAATTAAGTGATAGTATAATTTGTTACATGTATGTATATTTTATCACGGTTTCAACTATAGAATTGTTTGCTTTTAATTTGTTTATTCAGTGGCGGATCTTGATCATTGGTCTTGATGAGATCAAATAATATATTATTAATAAATAATAAATAAATATAAAAGGAAGAAATAAGATGAAAGGGTGAAAGGATAAATTGTAGATATATACTTAAATATATTAAATGGTCATTAAATTTGAGGGAGACAAAATCATAAATTATATGAGAGCTACAAAATTGAGGAGGAGCTGAGAGGATAAAATTGTAAATATAAAAATAAAACATTAAATGTTCATTAAGTTTGAGGGGAACAAAATCATAAATTACATGGGAGTTACAAAATTGGGCAACGGCCCCCCTCAGCTCCTAAAAAGATTCACCACTTTCTCTATTGACTTTCCATTTGCTACTACATATAAATATAAAGATTTTATGCCTGGTGTAATCCATTATTATTTTAACCCATAAAAATGACTTTGAAGGGCTACATTCGTGATTTTTGAGGATTTAAGTAATTTGATTCACATTATTTTAAGGGGACAAAAATGTATTGAATATGATTACATGAATGTGTAATGTTGAGATGAATTAGATGCCTAATTGAGAGCAATTTTAATCCAAAATACCTCAAAACCTCCTCATCCATCCAATATGGCGTGCATCCACAGTGTAATTAATTATACATGCAACACTGAATTTCTCATTTCCTGAGCATTTTTATGGTCATTTTCATTCCCTTCTCAAGAGTAAAGATTGCTCAACGTTATCAATAGGGATGTCAATCAAATCCGTCTTCACCCCGAGTTTGACGAAAAAAACCGAGTTGACCGAGTTCAGGTTCGGATTCAAATTTTCCCCGCTTTAAGAAATCGGGTTCGGGGGCAGGGATGAGTAATGCAATCTCCACCTTGTCCCCACCCTCGTCCCCGCCCCGACATTATATTTAAACCTAAATTCTAAAATATTAACCCTTTGTCTATTTATCTTCTTTTCTTTTTTAATGTTATATATATTTAAATTTAAATCCTGATATATAACCCTCTGTCTTTTCACATTATCATTTTTGTCTTCTTATACCCATTATTTACTCATATTACATAGTGTGTTCCTTCACTTCCATTTATTCTTAATTTCTGTTTTTTTTTCAATTTCTTCACAACTAGTCTTAACTCAACTCACATTTGGCTTCTTTTTTCTCTTTAACTAGTTTGACTTCTCTGATCAACTTCTCTAATATCTTCAACCAGTTTATCGGACGCATAAGGTAATTTTTTGTTTATTTATCTTTTTCTAAATATGTACATCAATGTATAATTTTATTTCTAATTTTTTTTATTAGGTTTATGTTATATCATGTTTTTTGGATTTACAATTCTTATTTAACATATATCATATCTTATGTTAATTAAATAATTATATTTTTTTATCTTTTATGACCAATTTAAGTCTTATTTTAGAAGAAATAAATAGGGGATTTTTTATCTTTAGGCAATCAATAATACATGTCTTGTTTATGGTGGTAGGAATTTTTTTTATACAATGGAAAATAATGAAACAACACAAGCAAGTACACATAAATCATTCTTAAAAGAAAATCCTAACCTTGAGGGTCCTACTCCTACACCAAATGAAGTCTTACTAGTAACTAGAGATAATGAACATGATGAGACTATATCATTAGAATCAAATCGGCTTAAAAGTAAGATTTGACAATATTTTCAAAAGATTCAAGTTAATGGAGAGGACAAGGCTCAGTGTAATTATTGTAAGAAACTTTTAGGAGAAAAATAAAAATATGGGACGAAACACCTATGACAACATAATGATAGTTGTATTCAATTCAAGATTTCTATTAAAGGGAAAAAGGGGAAAATATTTCTTACCCCTAAAGTTATGCAAGGTAAACAAGAGTTGGGTACAGGAATTTATGATGCAGAGCATATAAGAAAAGAACTTGCACATGCAATTATTATGCATGAATATCCACTTTCAATTGTAGATCATATTGATTTTAAGAGATACTCATATGCTCTCCAACCAGTATTTTAAGCTCCTTCTAGAAATACTATTAAAAAGGAAATATTCAAAGTCTACAAGTCTGAGAAATCAATCATTTTGAAGTCATTGGATAGTCTTGAAGGAAAAGTGTGTATATCATCAGACATGTGGACTTCGGATAATCAACAAAGAGGATATATGGCTGTCACTGCTCATTATATTGATGGTTCTTAGAATTTACAGAGTCACATTTTAAGGTAACAAATAACTTTCCTAATCATATTTTCTATTATTTTTATTTTTATTTTCATATGGTAAAATGATTTAATATTGATTAAATTTATGTGAATATTATTATGATAGGTTCATTTATGTTCAGCTCCTCACACAAGTGATAGACTTTGCAATGCATTAGTTGAATGTTTGATGGATTGGAACATTGATACAAAATTATCCACTATCACCCTTGATAATTGTACTACAAATGATGCTATGGTTGAAAAAATTAAGGGTAAATTGTAAATTAAGACTTTATTGAGAGATGGAGATTTACTTCACAAGCGTTATTGTGCTCATATATTAAATTTGATAGTCAAAGATGGGCTAGAGGTAGTGAAAGATGAGGTTGAAAAAATTCGGGGTAGTGTAGCATATTGGACTGCAACACCTAAGAGGAAAGAAAAGTTTGAAGAAACAGCAAAGCAATTGTGCATCTCTTCTACTAGGAACTTGGTTTTAGATTGTCCAACAAGATGGAATTCAACATACAAAATGCTTAAAATTGTCATAATATATGAATATGTGTTTAATCGATTGAAACAACGAGATTCTCAGTACACTTGTTTGCCAACTAGTTTATAATGGCAGTTTGCAAAGGATGTTTGCGAAAGATTGAAATTGTTCAATTTTATAACAAAATTATTTTCTGCTACTAAACATCTAACTACTAATTTGTATTTTTCCAATATATGTGAGATTAAATTGACATTGACTGAGTGTATTGCATCTCCGAATGAAGTGATTAAAAAAATGTCTGAGAACATATTGTTCAAATTTGATAATTATTGGAATGTGATTCATGCTATTATGGGAGTCGCTACTATTTTGGATCATAGATACAAAATGAAGTTACTTGAATATTATTATGAAAAGTTGTATGGTCATGAATACTTTTTGCAAGTTAGGATAATTCGTCAATTATGTTATGATTTGATTTCTGAGTATCAAACAAAAACGAATAAAGACACAGTTGGCGAGTCTCCAACAAGGGATGATACTAATGTTACTGGTGGTGATGCATTAACTAAGTATGACAGGTATATTTTGAGAACAAAAAAAAAAGGTTAGAAATACATATAAAGCTGATTTTGATATTCTAATGTGGTGGAAGTTAAATGGAGTCAAATACTCAACACTTCAAGCAATTGCTAAAAATGTATTAGTTATCCCTATCTCCACTTCATTGTAGCTTCTGAATCTCCATTTAGTATCAGTGGTCAAATATTAAGTCCCTCCAGTGAACTACTCTAGAGGCTTTGATGTGTGCTAAGAGTTGGTTATGGAGTGCTGAAAACGAGTAATAATGTTTTATATACCTTTTTAAATATATATTTAATGAATGCATTTTTATATTTTAACAAGTATTCTCTTTATATTTTATTTTTAGGTGGTGTGAATTCTCAACTAATTGATGATTATGCTATTTTATTCAATGAGATGGATTTTGGTGATAAAGATAATATTTTATTTATTCAAAGAATATTATTTTTTATTTTCAATATTTTATTTTTCTTTTCAATAATATATTTTATTTTAAATTATGTAGGTGAATTGATGGACAGTGACATTGCTTGCTCATTTGGAGGATGATCATTAAATTATCCAATATTTATTATTTTTCTTATATGTATTGTTATGCCTAGTTATGCATTATTATGCAGTTTTCTTATATTATTTTCTATGAGAAATTTTGTTTACTTATTTATTAGTATTTTTAAATGTATTTCATAATTGTTTTAAAAGGATCATTAGTTGAAACTTATTTTTATTATATATTTTTTACAATGATTAATAGTTTTAAAGGATTAGAAAGAAAAATGAATGATTAAATATATTTATTGTGCATAAATATTTTAATATAAATGTAATAAATTAAAATATACACTCAATCAATAATAATATTCTAAAAGTTATAAAATTATATCTATTTTTTATAAAAAATAAAACGTAAAAGAGAATAATTTTAAAATTAATTTATTATAATTTATATAATTCCTTTTAAAATAATACCATAGAACGACACAGGGTGGGGAAACTCAAAATCCAACAGGGACGTAGATGAAAATTTAATTTTTAACCCCGACAGGAATCGAGGACAGGGACATAAACAATTACAAAAGTCGGAAACGGATATCAAGGATGCAAAACTCATCTCCGCCCCCGTTGCCATGCCTAATTATCAGTTTAGAAAAAGAAAGTTGAAATCTAAAAGCAAAATGAGATCACTCACACAAATCATAAATATGCCGCAGTGCGAATGATCTATTTACCTAAAATTATTACATCTGACCCCTAACTACAGATATCTGCTGCGGTGCTTTTCCAATCCAAATATAGATCTTTAGATAAGTCATCCATGAATAACATAATTTCTGACTAAGTTAGGACAAAAAATTGCCTCTGGTATGACTATCATGTATGGCTATTACTTCCACATACATTTTGGTAATGACTTGTATCCTAATCTATTACGAGTCTTACATCAGTAAGGGAACTGTGATTGCAAAATATGCAGCTATGAATTTACATGAAGAGGAGGATACATTGGCATTGGAGAACTTCCATTCTATTGAATTTTTCCAATGATTTACCAGAAACCTCTGCAAGAACATACACCATCCTTGAAATGGTGAAACCGGTTTGAATCTCGCAACACAATATCCCTCCCAGTGGTTTTGGACATGAACTTCCCCATATCATGACAGTCCGCACATACTCTTAGATTCTTGGTCACCCTAACAGTCTTCCCTGGAGGCAAATTTAATATACCAAAAGCCATGGCCAATTTCTCGCTGTGTCCACATAGAAGCACTTCCTTATTCATATCATCTGGATTAATTAACGCATACCTCATCTTATTAGTGTAGCCTCCCCTGTCCATTTTCATTCTCAGATCTCTCAGCAATGAGTCTATCCTTTTGGCCTGAGGGTGGGAAGTATCCCCAGCAGCAAAGATATTAAACTTTCCTTGAATCTCAATCCAACTACAACCTTGATCCTTTTTAAATCCCCCCTTACCAATCTTTCTTTGTAACTTTTTTACTTCTACCCACTTTTCTGCATCTGCATAGACATTCGCTAGAAGAACATAATACCTTGTGTTCTCTGGCTCAAGCTCAAAAATATGCTCTGCCACTTTTTCTGCTAGCTCCACATCATGATGGACCCCACATCCAGAAAGCAAGGCACCCCAAATTGCAGCATCTGGTTTAATTGGCATAGTTTCAATGAAGTTGTATGCGTTGGATAGATTTCCTGAGCGAACAAGGAGATCCACCATACATGCATAGTGTTCTAACTTAGGCTCAATGTTGCATTCACTTCTCATGGAATCAAAGAATTTCCATCCCTCTTTCACTAATCCAGAGTGACTGCAAGCATAAAGTATTGAAGAGAAGCAGGTCTCTTCAGGCTGAATACCTGCAATCCTCATCTTTTCAAATGTGGAAACTGCCTCCTTTCCAAACCCATGCCTGCCATATCCAGCAATCATAACGGTCCACAAGATGATATCCTTTTTAGGAATCATATCAAACAGTTGCTGTGCAAGAACTACTAACCCACACTTCACATACATATCAACAAGTGCACAGGAAACATGCAACTCTGAAAAGTACCCTTTTCTCAATATGTGTCCATGTATCTCTCTACCTTTCTCAAGAGCTGCTAAGCCTGCACAAGCTGGAAGGACACAAGCCATTGTAATGTCATTAGGCTTCAATTGCTTTTGCATGTCCAGAAACAGTTCTAGAGCTTCATAGGGAAGTGAGTTTTGCGAATAACCTCCAATGATTGTGTTCCATGAGACAGTGTCTTTGACAGGAATTTGAGAGAAAATTAAATGAGCTTCTTCCATGATTCCACATTTTGCATACATGTTCATGAGAGCATTAGAAACAGGTAAATGCAATTCCATGTAATTCTTTTTAATGAAATTATGTATATCCCTTCCTTTATCCAACGAGTTGCTATAAGCACAAGCATGAAGAACACTTGAGAGTGTATAAGCATCTGGCTTAAGACCTTTGCTTTGCATTTCACCAAATAATTCAATGGCCTCATCATACAGACCTTTCCGTATATAAGCAGCTATGATTGAAGTCCAAGAAACAATATTAGTTTCACCCATCTTTACAAAAACATCAGTTGCACCTTTCAAATAACCACATTTAGAATACATGTCTAGTAAGGTGTTGTCAAACATGACATCCCCGCTAAAACCAGTTTTCACTCCGTAAGCATGAAGAGCTCTACCCAATGAAAGGTTGCCAACTTTTGCACAAGCCATAAGAACGCTAACCAAGGTGGGCAATTCTATCTCAACCCCCAAATTCAGCATCTGAATTAAAAACTCAAGTCCTTTCCTGGAAAACCCATTCATAACATAACCATTAATCATGGAACTCCAGGAAACAACATCTGGCTCACTCAATTCATCAAACATATTATGTGCACTCTCAACTTCACGACTTTTAAAATAAGCTGCTATTAGAGAGTTAACAACAGCATTATAAGAACCAAAACCTAGTTTAAAAGCATAACCGTGAACGCTTTTACACTCCCTCAGCTTTGCCAATGCAGTGTAACACTTCAACATACTAGTAAAAGTAAAAGGATCCCCTCTTATTCCCAACTTCTGCATTTTCTCAATAAGACTAACAGCTTCCTCGTATTTACCAATCTTTGCATATTTAGACATCAAAAGATTCCAGAGATAAATCTTATCACCGAGAAACCCATCTAATATTTGTCTCCCTTTATCCAAATCACCACAATGCACATACATGAAGACTAGCTTTACCCCAACAAACTCATCAATTTCCATGCCATTGGAGGTGATAATGGAGTGAACCATCTTTCCTTCTTCCAAACACTTAAGCTCGGCACAGAGCTGCAACACAGAACAGTAAGTATGCAGCTCAAGTTCAGACATTTCTGACATTTTGAGCAATTCCATGGCGTTTTTGAGATCACCCGTTTGGCAGAATTTGAGAATTTTTGCATTTTTATCCAAGGCCACTTTGTAGGTGGCCTTGGACAAAGTTGCAGAGACACAAACACTGCTACAGAAAGAAAGGTCAAAATTTGGAGGTGGCAGACATGTTGTCCCAGATTGTCTGAAGAAGATGAAACAATTGGGAGATTTTGCAAAGTTTGACTTGTTTCTGGGACTATGAAAAGTTGGATAAGTGTTCAATGGCGCTATGCTTCTAGTTTTAGACATGGTTGGCGTTGCCATCCGTCTCCCTCATCAGACAAACAACGTTGATACTACTATTTATACCTACACTGTAAAATCAGGCCTTCTTTTGGTTCTAATCTTCTTACCAATTTGCTTAGATTGAATAAATTTTATCCTTAAATAATTGTTACTTATAAATTTTTCATTAAAAACTTAAAAATTATGCATTTTTAAAATAAATTGAAGCAACTACACATTTAATTCTACGTTAAAGAAACACAAATTGAACAACGTGTATAAAAGAAAAAATAATAAACAATCTGTTAGTTGTTTATTGATTTTTTTTAAATAAAATTATATATATATATATATATATATATATATATATATATATATATTAACGTAAGTTTTTTTTGTTTTTATTGAAACACTCAACTTTTACAATTTCATCTTAAAATATAAATATTTATTTTATTTTCTATATCAAAATTCCGTTGTAGTCTAGTTGGTTAGGATACTCGGCTTTCACCCGAGCGACCCGGGTTCGAGTCCCGGCAACGGAATCTGTGTTTGTTTACTAATACGGTTTTGTCTTGTTTAAACTTTCACAAAAATCGATTGTTTTTTTATCAAGATAAAATATAATTTTCACTTCTGTAACATTATAAGTGACAGCAAGTATTTCCATAAAAAAATTTGAGGCAAGTGTTCCAGCGAATTAATTTTGAAAAATAGAAAAATGCTTACCACTAATTTTGCTAACAATAGAGTAGCTACACCATTTGCAAACAAAAAGAAATTATGTATCCACACTGCATTTGATTAGACTCAAGTTTTGGGATTACTTGATTTTAAGCCCAAATCAGATTAATCTAAAGTAATCAAACTGCTTAAAATTAAATGACATTACTTTTATTTGAAGCAATAGTGAGTTATCTGTCATGAAGTTGAGTCATCATGAGATTTTCTTTACTCAAGTGAAACCATAGATAATAAATAACTAAGTCATGTTCATCCATGTGTAAGTGAAGAAAATAATAAAAAATGAACGTGGAACACATATATTGATATCATTGTCATGTAAATTGACATGCGTCTTTATAACAAAATGCGAAAGCATCATTTCCGTTGCCGGGACTTGAACCCGGGTCTCTCGGGTGAGAGCCGAGTATCCTGACCAACTAGACTACAACGGATTCTTGTTTCAATAAAACGTATTAAATATTAGTTTTCATTAAACATTCACTCCCACCTTATGGATGATTCACCCAATTCAAACTTGTTAATTTATGGATGATCTCTCAACTTAATCTTATTTAAATAATTTCTTTCTAGTTGGAGGAATAATTTTATACAAACTCCATATTTAATCTAATTATAAATTTCATGTTTAAACTAATTTAATTCAATTAAAATCATTCAATAATATACCGTTCTGTTTTCATTATAAAACATTTTGGACCAAAATATACGTATCAAGTAAATTAATTAACTCATCTAATTTAATTGATTTTTTAATTTGTTACTAACAATTTGTTTTTTTTTTCTTCATTAATCATCATTAAAATAAGTAACAATAGCACACATAGGCATGTTTTTAATAGAGATATATATAGAGAAAAATAAAAATTAGGTTTATTGAAATTGTAAAATTCCTTGCATTGAGACAATTTTTTTTCAAATTTGTATCTTATAATAATAATAATAATAATATAATTATTATGTAATTTATTCAATTATTTTATTAATTAAATATATTTTTAATAATATTAAATAATATATTTAATATTTTAAAAGCTTATTAAAAAATAGACAAATTATAACATAAAATAATATTTTTGAAAACATGGACCGAATTCAATTTAATATGATCAATAATAAAAGTTAAATTAAATTAGGACTAATATAAAAAATATAGAAAAATTCAAATTAACACGTCCTTGAGTTTTCTTTTATTTTACATAAAAATATATATATAAAAACCTTCGTACAGATATTGTCGAGGAAGTTATAAAAATTATTTTCTTTTTTAATCATTAATAATTTTGAGTTACGATTTTAAAATTTTTTTAATTTAAAAATTTATATATATATATATATATATATATATATATATATATATATATATATAAAGATACTCAAATTTATATTTTTCAATTTTAAATATTAGATTAAATATACGGTTTAATCTATCTAACGCTTTTAAAAATTGATATATTATTTTTAAATAATTAAATTTTAAAAAATTTAGAAGAAAATTAAAGAAAATTGGTATAAAATTGATAAAATTAAAAAAATGAATTGAATATTTTTTTTCAAAACAGTTTTAATAAAAAAAATAATGATAAATTTTTTAAATATAATTTTTTATAAGAAAATAGAATATATTTTAATTTTTTTTCTGTCTCATGTTAATTACATCAATTTTAAAATATTTAATTTTATTTTTATCATTATTCATCTTATATTTTTTATATCTTATTATAATAATACTAATAATAATCTTTATTATTTTTTTTTAAATTATTAATAAATTTATTATATATTTATTATATTATAAAAATATTATTTTATTAAATATAATTCAATCGATTCAACTTCTAAACTATAATCAGTTGATTTAAAAAACAGTGGGCTTCTCAAATATATTGACCCTACAAGCATTTTTTTTTTCTTATATTATATGTATTATGCGTCTATATTTGTATGTTATACAAGTTTACATGCATATTTAATCCAAAAGTTAAAATTTCTTTATTTATCACTCATCAAAAATATATATTATTAGTTAATCAGATGAGAAAATTATTCTATATTTTAATTAAAATATTGAATTATAACTAATCAATTAATTTTAATTTATTACTATTTATATAATTTATTTTTTCTTTTGTTCTTTTTTACAAGTAGTTTTCTCAATAATAAATGTATATCATTCTATTGAGAAAATATATATCCAGGATCTTAGTGTCAAATATGAAGATATCCTTTATTAGGAAATTGGTGATGTGAATATTTAGGTTTTATGAATCTTCATGTGTGATTTATGGTGAATGGCTAATATTCTTTTGGGGCTAAAGTTAAAATTGAACATGGTTTAATTATCATCAATACATTAAGATTTCAAGCATTCAAAAATTGCAAAAACATTCCGTTGCCGGGACTTGAACCCGGGTCTCTCGGGTGAGAGCCGAGTATCCTAACTAACTAGACTACAACGGAATTTTGTTTAGTTAATTATATTTTATTTTAACCTTTTTAATTTAATAGAATTTATGTATCAAACTTATTAGTTTAAGATTTCTTTCTCATTATATTAAACTCAATTCAACCTGATTTGAATTAATTTTTTACCAATGAATAATTTATATATTTAATCCAAACATTTTGGACAAAACACACGTATCAAGAAAAACTAATAAGATCATAGCCTTCCTACACATATTGCTGTTGTTGAAGTTACAAAAATTCTTTATTTTTTGTAATCATTAATATTTTTGAGATATTACAATTTCCTTTTCAATTTAAAAAGTAGCAATTATATACTCACTCCATTATTTAGCTTCCTTAGCACCTCATCAAAGCAGACACAAATCTAAATATCACCTCCCAAATATAGTAGGCCTACAAGATTTTATTTTATTTTTTCATAATATTATTTGTATTATGTGTATATATTTGTATGTCATGCCTATTTGATCCAAAAGTTTAAATTTCTTAATTTGTCTCTCAATAAAATTTTGATGAAGAATACATCTTGGACATAAATACGTATACTGAACAGATGTACCTTCAAAATTTCGGGAAGAGTTCGAGTATATTGCTTTTGATCAACTTTAGAAAATGCTGACAAAATCAAATTTTACTTCGATTAGAATCTAGAACATTTGCAAACAAAAAGAAGGAAACATAAACACACTGACGAGAAATGACATTGGATTCTTTGAACTTTATATTAGCAGCAGACAGACAAGTCAACAGGGTAAGAAAGAAAATAGTGAAAGAAAGTAAAAAAGAGAAGGGAAATGAAGGAGAGGCTCTTTTTGTTTGCTTGTTTTAGAGCGAATAATGTACTGTTTCTAACATATAACATCTATGCCACAACTAAATATCTACGTTGTTTTTCTCCGTTATAAAATTGATGCCGCTGTTATATATCTCAGTACACTGCACGCACTCCAATCCAAAGAATGCAATAAGGAAACAATTTGGCCATAACTTGCCAAGTTGGCAAGTTTCTTTAAAACCAAATTTCATGGCCCCTGAGAAATGAGAAGTTGGTCATGGTTATGCATTGCCACCCCCCCTTCAGAGAAAGAATATGACAGGAACTTCATTGACGATGCACTCATCTATAGGAAGGATGAAGATTTTGAAGGGAGAGTAGTTGGCTTCCTCCACTAGAACATATTTACACGAAAGAACCATGGTAGAACAAAAGCTATTACTAGGCATGCCATTAAGAAGTTACAAAATGGTTGTCCGCGCCAGCATCCTCCAAACCTTCTGGATGAGGTATTATCATTGCCCAAGAATCTAGTATCATTCCACTCTTCCATAAATCCCTGATCACTACTAACGTCCGAAACATTTTTTGCAGTCTCACCACATATTTCACACAACCTGTAATCATGAAAGGTAATTAAAGATCGTGACAGAACTAACATTGAACAAAAGTAACCTCGAGATTATTCATCCAAAAAACCAGATTGCATATGAAACAAAATTGGCATAGAATAAAAAGGGCCTCAGGATTATTCAACCAACAAACTAGTATGCAAATTAAACAAGCTGCATGTATAAACTCAAGATGTGAATGGAAAAAAAAATTAAAAAAGTACTGATAGAGCTTCCTCCATCCCACCCAATTGGTTCACCCAACTTGACTAGGATGAATTAGGGACCAATGGCTTTCAAATTCTGAAGGGTCCTAAAACAAAAGAAAAAAAGGTACATACATGAGAGTAATTTGAAACAAAAATTTGAATTAAAGTTACCAATACAACGGTGATTTCAAACCGTTCTTCAACAGGGACACTTGAAATGAGAACAGCAAAAATTTAATTGAGCATACATCTGAACAATCATTTCATAATTTAAAACTTGAGGTAAACAATATTAAATAGTAACTGAGACTTTGACAAAGATCTAGATAGAAGGCAATGGGATAGAGCTTCTCATATTACTTAAATAGACTATATTCATTAGTAGTGAATGTCGCATTAGTACCATACCTCCAGAGTTTCTTTCCTAAGAACCAGTAACAAATATCCTGAATGTGAAATATGGCACATTCAGAATCATTGTGGAAATTATTCCAGTTGAAAGACAATCTTTCTGGCATACATTCTTCTACGTATCAATTTTTGTTTTTCCTTTGCTTAGTAAAAGGGTGGAACCATGGAGGAAAACAGAAAGGAATAGGAGGTACATTGTAATATAATATTCTTTTTAAGGAGATGAAAGTATAAACTTACTTTTCCTAGTTCACTCCTCATATATAAGCTGACAAGAGAAACGGAGAATTCAAAGAAACTTCATGGAGACAAGAAGAGCCTTTTTTGACCGGAAGTCAACATGAAAAATGAATGCAACTATACCAAACTAAGACATGGTGCCATTATTTGATTTGGGATGTAATCTCAGCTCACAACTACAAGAAGCCAAGATATTTGCTAATACTTCAGAAGGAAAACCAGCTGGGTGTCTGTCGATGCATTTGCCCAACTCACCCTTCATTGAAGTCAATTAGCACTAAAACTCCATGTGTCAGGATGCATAAGGATGATGTTGGTTCTCCAGTTAGATATGTAACCACTAAGAAGTAAAACGGCTATGAGCTACATACAATAACCAACTGAGAAATGATAAGCAATGAAGTTGGTTTCAAAAGTTAATACTCAAATTTAAGAATCTTTTCGAGTTGAAGTTTAATAATGATAAGAAAATAAAATTGCAATTTAGAAATTCCTATTTATTGGAAATAAATTTAATATAAAAGTAACACCAATGCTATATGCATAAGTATGCCGCAGAGTGTCAAAGATTTCACTAGAGAAGACGTGACAAAAAAATCAATCAGAAAAGAAATAAATATAACAAATTATTAAAATAATGCACATCCCAAGTTGGCTTCTTTTTGAGAAATTGTGCCCAGTAGGACTACTGATTCTGAGTAATCAGAAACATAGAAATTCTCAGGAATCCCAATGCCATTTTGAATTCAAATCAAACGGACAAAACATCAGAGTATGTTCAACGTTGCAGACATTAACATAAAAAACCTAAACAAAATGTTGATATACACAATAGAAATAAAGAATCAACAAAAGCAACAGTTACCTGTTTCCTTTAATCTTGAACCATGCCTCGGCACAATGACTGTGAGCAATGCCTAACTCATCTTTACATGCACAACCAAGCTGAATCAAATCAGTATCATTAGTAGCACCACCAGCAGTGCCAACAGCTGCTGCTTCTAATGGTTGCCCAGAGGCCAGATGGCAAATCCTACAAATCATTTCACCTTCCAAATTCTCACTAAAACCGTCGCAGCTACCTCTGTTTATATCAATCACACATGAATTTTTATCTATCTCAGAAACCCCTTTTGTCACTTTCATGGACAACTTGCTCAACCCTGAATCATTAGGTTTTGCTTCCAATTTCCTATTTTCTCCACTTACACACTCAATCTGAGCGGAAGGATCAATTACAGCACAAGTCTCAGGTAGTTCACCACTAACCAAATTTCTTGAACTATAACTGGTTCCTTGATCAACCCTATGCAATGTATCATTAATTTCTTGAGGGTCACCCATGTTATGATCATTAACTTCTTGGGGCCCCTCCTTTAGCTCCCCATTCAAACCAAGATCATTGCACATCTCTTGCGAAGCCCCATCTTCCCCACTTACATTAACTCTTTCACCCAAGCTATGTCTAACTCCTGCATCAATTGTATTTCCTTCAACCGAATGGTTCAAATTCTCACCCACCCTTTCATCAGCATGATCTAACACCTCACCGCTGTCTATGCTTTTTGCTTGATCCATCACCCCAACATCAAATTCTTCCACTCAATATTTCCCAACCTGAAAACAAACTGGTGACAATATATAACGCATGCCTCCCACAGTGATAAACCCAACCAAAAGAAAGCAAAAATAAATAAAACTGTATGTTATTCACAGAGAATGAACAATGTGACAAAGTAAAACACGGACAATATACATCTCAACGAGCCATACAATGTTTTGAGACACAACCTTCTGATATTGTTACAAAAACATAAACACACGCGAACAAAAAGGTAAAAAATGAGATTTTGATCATCACTAATAGGATGTTTCACCCGAATCAGACAGAAAGAGAAGGATTTACCTTAAACATTGGATTTAAGAATAAAAAATGAAACTGGGTACGTTTGAATCCAGGCACAGCCGTTAAAGCTCTAGGCTTTGCCTCTGGTTGTGGGTGGAGCTGCAAGAATGGACAAAATTATTATTATTTATATGTATGAAAAGGAGTAGCAGGGTTAGGTGAGGAAAGTAACTGGGAAAATGGTATCGAAATTGGAAAATAGATTGAGTGCATTTGAATCATTTGATGGAATGGATTAGTGTGTAAAGCAAAGGATAAGAAATTGAGGTTTTTGTCTTTATTCCATGCTTTTACACTAAACCCTTTTACTTTTGCGACATGCATTACCACACTCATAAACTTAGAAAATAATCATAATAATACCGTATTTTAACTTTTATCATTAGAATTATTAACTAATTTTATTTTGTAAACATTGAATATTTGTTGTAATATTGATTTCAAGGATTTAAGATAAATAAATATTAAAAATTTTACAGCTTAATATTTGCAATGAAATAAATGTTTTTCGTAATAAAATTAACTTTAACAAAATTGAAAAATATGATAAGTACTAAAAAAAAATCTATTTAACAATTTATGACGTTGATTTTAATTGAATGCCAGTTTAAACTGAAGGAATACAAGGAGTACTAAAAATATCTTTTATTAAATACGTTTAAAGATTTCTCATTTTACGTTTTAACAGTCAAATTTACAAAAAGTGTGACAGTACATAAAAATATAAAATGTTATAAATAACTAATGAAATAATTTAAATTAGTAATCCAGTTGTAGAATTTTCAATCTTTTTTTCCATTTTATTCGGTTTTGGAATTTTATGCAAGCTATAAGATGACGGGTGTGTACAGTTTTTCTTTTTCTTTTTTTCATTTTCTTTATTACATTAGTTTTCTCAAAAATAAAAAATTACAACACAGAATTTTATTTTTGTTAGAGATAAACTATTCTTAAAAATTTGTTTAAATTTAAAAATGCTTGTATAATACCAATGACTTGTTAGTATACTGCATAACATGTATACTTTGACTCATTAAAATTTTGATGTTTGATTTAAGATTTCCTTGTAACTGATAAGGAGAAATTTAGGAAAACTATAATGAATTTGAAAGAAAGTTTATTTTTATAGAGAAAAATAAAATCTTTATCCATTTCTGAAATATCCAAATAAAACTATTTTCTGAATGAAAAACTTACATGAACAAATAACCATGTATTAGCCAAAATGATTGCATTTATGATAAATAAGAGAGATATTTCAGTAAAATATGACTAGTTTGATGATAAAATAACTATAATTAGAGATTTTTCAAGATTAAGAATAATAATAAAATATGATGGATTAAGATAGTTTAATACGATAATCTCATTCACTTGGGAAAGATACATTCTCACCCCTCCCATGAAAACATTTCAGTGGAAGTTAACTAAAAAAAAGCATGTTAGCAATTGCAGAACTTTTTCAATCTCTTTGTTTGGATGGTGCGATGAGAAGCGAATGAAAAGATGACAACTTTATAAAAAACTATACCAAACTCTAAATTAAACAATCACTCCTGTTAATATATGTTAAAACAAACAAAATGGATTTGGTAAATTGTGGAGAATATATACCATTTTAGTTGGAACAATGAAAAGATAAGATGATGGTATGAGTGTGTTTTATTAAAAGACCAGAAATGTGATTGTTATTGAAAAAGTGATAGAGCGCCACAAACCATGTGATGACTGACAACATCACTTAGTCAATTGATAAAGAAGTAGAAAAGTGGTTAAAGTTTTGTTCATGAAATGATGTTTGTTGAAGAAGATGGAAGTGTAGTGAAATTTTGCTCGTATGATTGATGATTAACTACAATTTGAGTGTTAGAAGGGAAGTGAAAGATGCATTATTAAGAGTGGAAAATAAACAAGAACATGTTCCTCTCTAACATGGTTTTCATAAACTCATGAATTATGCATTAACAAATGAATATTAGTGGCAGACAAGAATGAAGTTTGTTTCAAGATATCCGTTCCTGAGAAAACGGAGAAAATTAAGTATCTCTATTTAAACACAAATACCTTAACCAAGTACCCAAAAGTCAGAATCTTAAGGAAAAAAAAAATTGATTTTGATTAGAAATTAGTATTAATGATATCTTTTTTCTAAAAAATAATATAAAAATAGTAAGTATTATTATCATTGATAATTATTTTAAATATATCTTAGCATAAAACTGATAAAAATATCAAAGTTTTATTTCAAAAATATTGAAATAATTTTTTAATATAAAAATATTTTTATAAATTATTTTTTTTATTATTATATATAAGTAAATTTGGTCATTTATTGTTTGCAAAAGAGAAAGTGAAACAACTTTTCATTGATATTGTAAATTTTAAATCAGAAACATATATTTAATTTTCAAAACAATTTATTTATAATAAATTATCATATTTACTAATAATGATCAATTTAACTTAATAATAAAAAAGTTCAATTTTCTAATATATATTAATATGTTTATATTGTTTATACATTTTCCTAATAACTTTTAATTAGTAATAATAAATTATAATTTTTTTATCTCAATAATAATAATAATAATTGATAAATTAGATTTGCAATTAACTTTTTATTAATATTTTATTTTATATACATTTAATATTTAAAATTGAAGTAAATTAAAATTATTTATACCAATTATTATTAATATTTTTAAGTTTTTTAAAAATTTTAATATTCACATAAATTTAAAACTTTATTTATCTTGTAATTAATTTTATAATAATTTGATGATTTTAGTTAAAAAGAAGTATGAGAACTGGATTTATTTGAGAAAAAAATTTGTCAATACTCTTCCTAAATATACTTGCATTTATTTTTTCATTATATAAAGATTCCTTAAATTATATTTATTCATTTTTAAAAATTTATTAAGGACTAAAAATAGTAATTTAAAATTTTTGAGGAATGAATTTCTTTTTTTTTTACAACAACAAAAATAGAAATGTATAAAACATAAAATTATTATTTTAAATTTTATAAGATATAGGTAAAAAAGATTATAAGGATCAAATTAGATTTATAAGAATTAAAAATAATTTGATCTAAAAATTAATTTAGATAATAGGTGAAGAGAAATAAACAATTAAGAAGATAAAATAAACAATAAGTTAAATACTTATACATTACAAATTTTTACCCATTTCTTTATTTAACTTCAGGTTACTCATCTTTTGAGTCCCCTTTTTTTTATAATTTTTGTTTGTAATTCTTTTAAAAAACTTTGACGGCTAATATTTTTTTCTGTATTTATTTTTAGTCTTATAGTTAACTTTTCACATGGTTATTAATATGATGTAGCACCTAACAAAAATATATTTTAATTTTGTTACAGTTTCATTTCATCTATATAAAAAGGTAATTGTGAAAATATTTTTAAATTTTGATTAGGATTTTGTAATTTGAACTTTAAAGAATTTTTAAAATTAAAATCATAATATTTTAAAAAAATTATAAAGTATATTTAAAAAATGCATTTAAAAAAATCATAAATCATTTGTAATTTATCCTTTAACACATTCTTACATATTATCTTATATATTTTATAAAATTACATTAATAAAACAATATTTTAATCACAACTAATTTTAATGTAAACTATCTATAATATAAACAACATTTGATCTTTGGTTATTATTAAACATAGAAAGTAATTTTGTTATTTTTGATATATTATTTTAAGTTGATAAAATGGAAGAAAACAAAATATGTGTGAAAAAGAGAAATGTATTTAATGATTCCTTATCTTCAATTAAACTTGTAAACAGTAAATTCCAAAACAAGTAGGATAGTCAATGATAAATATAATAAATAAATGAAAGGTTTGAGTTTATTTTCTTGTTCTTTATTTAGTAGATATTGAATATAACTTTTAGTGCTTGGATATTAATTTTTTGAAATTAATATATTAATTTTTATCAAAAATTGAAACCGTTTTATTTATAAATCTTCTGATTTTGATCATTAAACCAAATGAATTTTCCTTGCATTTGAATGTTAATAATTACTCAACAAACACATTACATTAATTGCATCCAACCCAGAGGAGCTTTAGCTGCTACATAGCTCAGCTACATTCGGCTTTTACGTTGTACCCACCATGAGTTAACGGCATGTGCAGCCCATCCATTACTCATAGCAACTTCAATAGCAGCATCAACATGTGTGAGAGAACTCTTCAGGCATCCATGGCAATTATTGGATTGCATGTGTAACTGAGATCATATTTATTCCTAATCTCCAATGCCACCGACACCAAACTCAGAAGTTCAGAAGAAACAGGGCATTGATATGCTGTAAAGGACAAATAAATGTAGGGCCTAATATACACACAACTTTTAAGATGAAGATGGAAGGCATTACATCACCAATCTAAATGCATTCCTGATAAAACATCAAGTGTAAAATTTGCTGAGATAACAAATTCCACAAGGTTTTTTATTTTATGCTTTCTCATATATTTTGAAAACGTTATTCTGTAATTTTAAAGTTCATGATGATATTTTTCAAAATGAATAATCTAAAACAAGTAAAATCAATCTAATATTAAATATTTCAAAATGTATTACGGAATTCTCATTCTACAAGACATCCAAAACATATAATTCAGATTATGTTCTCGTATAAACATTTTATAAATTATTTTTGTGATTCCACTTTAAGGGAGAGCGAAAGAAAGAAATGACAAAGATACAATTGACACTAAGTATTTTGATTAATTGATGGGAGAAGCTATTTGCCTGGGAAACAACTCTTCACTAGGTATACACTGGCCTCCGTTATACAGATCCGATACGGAAACAAAAGTATAAAATATAATGTAAGGGGAAAATAAAATGTTCAACCAGACGGCAAAATATGTCAAAATTTGTCTATATTGTCCAACAATTAACATCGTATAACTCGAGTAACTATTGGCTATTACACTTCAACAATGTTAATCTCTTTTTTTTTTTTTTCTTTTTTTTTCAGAAAGTAACCTTTAAGCTGCTTCCTTCAAGACAAAATGTAACTAGTGCTTCACGAAGACAGGAAATAACAATTTCAATCCATCAATATCTAACATTTTCCTTCGATCTTCATTGTAATTCTTAACTCGCCAGAGGAGAAGATTTGTATGTACAAAAACCAAATCACCAACGTCGGGCCTATTTCCTTTTCATAAAAAGATTTTTGGGAATTGTAGCACCTATCATAAACACGGAACGGTACGTACCACCCAATTTAATTTTTTGAAAATTAATTTTAGTACATGTTTGGGGGTATGAATACATACATACCCAGTATGTATAGAGCTTTAATTTGGAGTACCCATGCTATACAGATGCTGACTGGAGTGGTGGATCAACTGCAGCATAGTCAGGCACAGAACTACATTGCCGCTGTATAATAACTTGTAATTTGGACAATAAGATGGTACCCTCTTTTAACTTGTATCCATTATAATACACTTTGCGAGCTTAACATCATGTTCCAGCAAAACGAGTATGTCGTAGCCCTATCTTCCGCTTCACATGATCAGGTATCAACTTATCAATAAGCTCTGGAGATGCTCCAGATAACTGTAAACAGAGAACATAAACATTTAATAGACCCTAAACAGGGAACTTAATGAATATATATGATCTTGGAGATATTCATAATGAATGAAGCTGTCTATCAATTTTGTTAGGTAGGACGTTGATCTTCAATCTTGATCATAAAATTGTATTACAGGTCATTTAGATTTTTGTAACCTTCATTCATAGCTAAGAAGATGACCTCCTCAGCCACACTCACCTCTTGTTTAAAGTTGAATAGAGGGGGAAATGGACGACCATCTGGCAAGTGAGCATTGGGCTCACGGAGCTCATCAAAGAATGGGTGAGCACATGCTTCCAGCTGCATAACAAAAGAAAATCCTCCTCAAACTGCTATTCTCTCTTTATATAACAGTCGCTAACTGATATAGACGTAGAAGAAATATGATGGCATGTTGAAGGAAGACTAATGACTTGCACACTGACAAATAAATCACAATTGCAGCAATCACACTCACCGCAGTACATCGAAGAGTTGGGGAATACTGCAGAAGCCGGGAAGCAAGATCAATGGCTTCTGGAGGCATTTTTTCGTGGAATATCTACACTCAAAATTTTAAAGGTTTAGAATGTCCAGGATTCTTTTATACATTCAACTTTGATAATCTGGAAAGCCAAGTGGCAGAAGAGTTAAAAATGCAGTCTTTGTGCCATGGATGTCTTCTAACCTGTGAAAACTTGAAATCATTACTGTTTGAATTCGTACAGCAAACTTCCTCCTCAGAAGGTGTGCCAAGAACCTGAAATACAGATTTTATTCAACTGACTTCTTATGACAGGAGTGATACAATCCTAAAAACCTAACATGTTGTAACACCAGTCGCACCTTGATAATTTCTACAAGTTGGTCCACTGCATTATCACCAGGAAATAATGGCTTCAAAAGTTCCACTTTTGTGTCAGATGGAATGTAGGTAATAATTATTGAATATGAGACTATTTGCAAAATTTCAACAATAAAAGAAAAGAAGTTATATAAACCTTGCCCAAAAGCAGTTCAGCAAGGACACAACCAGCAGACCAAATATCAATTGAAGTAGTATACTCAGTAGCACCAAATATAAGTTCCGGTGCTCGATAGAAAAGTGAACATATGTGTGATATATTAGCTTCACCTTTAACCTGATCACATAAAATCCCAACTAAGCAAGTAGCATCAGCAGGAAAAACACGGGAAATTTTATCCTGGATATTGTAATAAGAGTCATAATTCAAAAGCTCATGAACACGTAAGCGCTTAATGTGTAAAAATCTCAAAAAAATACAACAATTTCAGCAATTTTCAGTTGAGCACGGAAGTGCACATCCCATAGACAAGGGTATGGGATTTCAGTTCTGAAGTTACTGAGTCATCACCATACTAATTGTGCAAATTTACGAAGGTATGGAAAAGGTTGGCTATGATGTTCATGCATCAGCAAAAGCAGTGGAGTTAGAGAAATGGGATAAAGAAGCAAAGTGTGCATGCAAGCATGGGTCATGTCATTAAAGATTTTTGGGACTTTGAAGCTCTAGTTGAGAGCTTGGCAGGGGTTGTGTAGGTCAAGAGATCAGCACCAAACTTTGAAGTGTGGTGGTGATAGCAGTGCCTTTAGCTTTAGAGAACAACTGTGCAATCTCATGGAATTATGAAATAATAGCAGAAATGGTGAGAAATTCTACAGGTGTGAAACCAGTGATCAGAGTATGAAGGGTGAACCATTTACAAATATAGTTACTCTGAGAGGAATCACTCAAATGTGGCAAGTATAACAGCATGGAAGATGAGATAAAGAAGGAAGAGAAATCGAAGGAAATGAAGAAGGGCATGCAGAAGAAATTCCTGAAAATTAAGAAACAAAGCGACCATGAAAAGACAGAGCAGGTACAGATAGCATAGCCTTGAGTTCCTTGATGCATTGAGGGATACATAAGAGTAAGAAAGCCATCTATTTATGTAAATAAATATCAAATAAGTTCCTTGTTTTATTAAATTTCTTATTTTATCTAGGTTTTAAACAAATATCATAAAAAAATTTAGTAATTGCACAATTACTTACAAAGTAACCATTTTTAATGGATTAGTTGTTCAGCAATATTTAACTTCCACCAATTCCAGTGCGACTCCTCAACCTTGGTTCACAACTTAGTAAACAAAACATCAATTTATAAAAATTAAATTATCTGTTTTCGTTTCACCATCTCCTTGCTACAATTACAATTACGCAAAAAATGTCATCTACAAAATCGAATTGCAAGGTATGAAACTTTCCAACACTGGAATTGTGGGACTCTAACGTTTATAAGGCCTTGGCCTCTCAAACTACAATAACTAGCATTTTGTGGTGTGACTTTCTCAAATTGCTTGTCAGTGATGGTAATTAATAATACTTTTTGTTGAAATTTCAATATAGTTAAAAAGGGAATCTAGGCATATTTATTATAAGGACTAATAATGATGCACACAAAAAAGTGTGGGTGTACTGAGAATGAGATCAAACATACCAGCACTTTCGCACTTCCAAAATCGCATATCTTAACCTGGTGTGTAAGAGGATCAACCTACAGAATACACAAAATGACATCAGATCAAGAAATAGTTCCTTCTTTTTCAAAAAGAAAGTGAAAGTGAATATTGTATTCAGCTAAAAAAAAATATAAGCAAACCAGAATATTTTGAGGCTTCAAATCTCTGTGGCAAACTCTAGGGACAGTGTGGATATAAGCCAGCCCCCGGAAAATCTACATGAGAACCACAGATCTGTATCATGATGTGAAAAGACAAAAATAGAATCTTCACAATCACCAGAAAATCTGAGGCATACCTGGTGCATGTAAAGTTTTACAAAGATAAGTGGCATGCTCTGATTTGTATTACTATAGAACTTTGAGACTCGGTACATAGACTCTGGAACGTATTCCATCACCAAATTAAGAAAAATTTCATCCGCACTTGTAGTGGAAAAGAAACGGTGCTTCAGAGAGATCACATTTGGATGGTCCATCATGCGCATCAGTTGTAGCTCACGATTCTTATAACTTTTGTCCTGTAAAATCTTCTTAATGGCCACTGGCTCCCCAGTTTCCATGCATTTAGCCTAAGAGAAAAAATTATCAGCGTGTGACTGATATATGGCGATGGTAACAGCTATGAATATAGTAGTGGCATACCTGGAAGACAATTCCAAATGACCCAGTCCCCACAATGCGTTCTGCCAGGTAACTTCTAGTCTACAAGAATAATAAACAAAGACATTAAGCTTTTACAGAATAGCACAGGTGATATCTTCTAAATCACATAACATTTAAAAATCCAAATTACATTTTACATAAACTCAGAATCTGATAAAGAAAAAAATCTTAATACCTGTTAAATTACAGGAAAGATGGAATTCACAAAGAAAATACCTGTTTGGGCTTCCCATTTTTTCCTCCTACTGTAGTGGATATGATGTGACCAGTAAGGGAATCATTCCCATCGACAACAGAAGTGGACATCTGTCAAATTGCCACAATTATTAACAGTATATAAGGAATACAACAATTTCAAATGTTCTGCATATATTTTGAAAATAATTTGTCGTTTAAAGGAAGATAAAGCAGGAAAATACAGCTATAAAAAAAAAATATACACTCACTAGTAAGTAGAGACTGACCAGCAGCAGGTGCAGAGTGCTAATCAGATCTTATTGCAATTCAGTTATTCAAAATCTAAGCCCCAAAGATGTTGCATATAAAAAGAAAATTGTAGAGAGCACGAGAATGATTATTTATTTGAGAAATTACAGAAACAAGCAAATAAAAAGGTTGAAGACAAGAAACATTACAACATTAAGCTCCTAGGACAAGAAACTTGCAACAATTGCTGAAATTGAAAAGTAAGAGGGAACACTCAAGTAACTATGTCGCTTAAACAGCTTAAACAACTTAATACAAAGTTAACCGCGAGCAGCAAAGTAGAATGTCATTGAATCTTAATAAATTAACCACTAAAGTCACGAGAGCTACAAAGGAATCAAGAAAAATCCAGAAAATAACAAACAAAAGATCATAAAAATAAGATCAAGAACAAATAACGAAAAACCTTTACCATTACACACCCAGTTCAGAACTTCTCTCCAGTCCCCAAATAAATAAACCGCACATTACAAACAAAAAAGAGATCAAGATGAAACTGACTAACGCGGTCTTCAATTTTAAGCTCAAGGACCAAAATCTTCAGTGAAGGAACCAACTTTTCTACACAAAAAGAACCCTAACAGTCTCCCGCGTGGCCACGTGAGGAAGAGGACAAAAAGAGAAGAGGAAGAAGAAGAAGAATTGGATAACAAAAATTGAAAACCCATAGTACTCTTAGAAGCTTTTATGATCTGAAATAACCAAAATTAGAAGGTCGTTTCTTCAGGTGCCAATAAGCATTCAGAGCACAAAACAATAAACCAATCCAATGAGATTCCAAAAAGAAAGGGGGAAACGCACGCACCTTGTTGTGGGTATGGTCTGCCATGACGTGAGAGGATGTCAATGTTGTGGGATGGTGGTAAAATAGAGAAGAAGTGAGAGAGGAGAGATGAGTGGCTTGGCCTTTATAGCTACTGCTGGTGTGTACCTCCTGTCCACCGCCCTCCTCAACAAGATATATAACTGTTTTGCACTTTTACAATAAATATCTCCACAACATTTTTTGTACAACACAATTCAACTTCGTCTCTTCTGTTTTCATGGTTGTTTTCAATACGATTTTATTTTTTTTTACATGCTTTCAAGTTAGATTAAATTTTGGAAAGAACAAGTATCGTCTATAATAAGTAACAATTAAGGTTAGGAATTAAAATTAAACTTTATTAAAAAAAATCTCGTACAAGTTTATCCCTGAGAAATGCAGCACGCTTTTAGTTTTATATAGAATTTACGCAACTTTTTTCTTTTCATTTCTTTCTACTCATCTTTATTTCCATTTGTGACAACAATAACTTATAGATTTTTTTTTAAATGCTATTACTACTTCTTATTTAATAAAATAATATATTAATAATGTTTTTAACCGTTATCCATAAGACAATAATTTACGTATGAAATTAGAAAACAAAAAACTAATTACCATATAAATAGTTTTTGTACAAAATTAATAAAAAAACTTATATATTTACAAGAAAATTACATTCTATTTGTAATCTCTACTAAAAAAAAATATAAGAGGTTATATTTCATTTGTAAGCTCCTAAAAACAAAAAAACTTAATAAAATAGAAGAAATAGTTACGTGTAAGTTTAGTTGTAATTTTTATATTCATTGTATGTATTTTTGAAAATTTTATATTATTATACGTATTTTATAAATTGTATATTATTTTTAGTTTAGTGCCAATATGTTCTTGTATTATTTTGTTTAATTAAAAAAGGATTAACGAAACTATATGTATAATTATTATTGTATTATGTTGATGTTAATTATTAATTTTAAAAATTAAGTTCTTTATGTAATAATAATAATAATAATAATAATAATATTATTATTATTATTATTATTATTATATATTTGTAGACATTTGCTCATGTTTAGTTCAATTTAAGAATGCATTATTATTTTTTCATTCTTAATTATAATAATTTATAATGCAGTGCTAATTTAGGTTATAAGAAGTTAATATTAGGATAAAAATTGAAAGTATATTTATCTGTTATGATATTTATTTATTATTTACTATTTATGTCATTTAATATACGTAATTAGTCTAAGGCAAACTAAACTTTTTTTTCTTTTTGCTCTGTCATTAATTTTTTATTTTATTTTAAATAATCTTGTTAATAGTTTTTTTCTCCCTAGTTCTGTTCAAAACTATTCTGTTATCAATAGAAAAAGTTATCACTTACAATTTTTATTTATTTTTTAAACCAGATTGACGTCTCCATCACGTGATTATGTAACGGTGTAAAAAAGAATTTTGATCAAATTAACATTGCCCCGACAGAAGGTAACGTAACACGACCACAAAAAATCAATAATCAAAGAATGTTAAAAACACGTTTCGTAAAGTTTTGTATGGTTTATCTTCATGTCGTACAAAATAGTAAATAACAAAGCCAAAGAATGTACACCAAAATCGCATTCAACACCTTTAAATAGTAGAATTTAAAATTAATACATTGTCAAACATTTCAACCAAATTCATATTCCAATTATATAAGTTAAATATACTATAAATAAGTTATTATCAACTTATATAAGAACTTATTTATTTATTTTTACTTATTCGCTTATTAATTATTTATCTATACCAGTAATAAATAGTTTATGTAATTGTTTTTTTTTCATAATTTATTTCTATTTTACCATTGATATTATATAATTATTTTTCTAATTATAATTTTATCTTAGTAACTTTTTTAAAAATATGGATATATGCAATAATACATATAGGTAAATATTTTGTAATCTATTTTTTAAGATATGGACATAAAAATAATAAAATATGATAATAAAAAATCCATAATTAATTATGAAAATTATAATCGATCATATATGTAAATAATACGAAAAATTTAGACACGAACGTCATACTAGTAAAAAAATACCTAAATGAATTTTTGAAAGATAAGAAAACAGAAAATTTATAATAATTACAATATAGTAGAAAAGAAAAATAACAAACTGAAAAATAAAATATACATATATCATTGATTAACATTTCAAAATACCTACTTTTCAGTAACATAATAGATTTGTCTTACATTAAAAAGTATGTGAACTCCACCGTTTCATTTTCCATTTTCGTACAAATCCATTGAAACAAATTAAAAAGATAAATTTAATTATCTTAAAATACAGACATTTATATATTTTAATTGTAAAGAAAAACTCATTTAATACACGTTGCTATTTTATTTATCATATCAGCAAATGCAAATATTTTTATCCTTTGATGCAAATATTTTTATCCTTTCACCATTAAGTAACGTGTGACTTGTTATAAATATGTTTAAGAATTAATGAACAAATAAGTTTCACTTGTATTGATGAAAAAATTTGAAATTAAGTAACCCAATTCAACTATACCAAAAATAAATGAACTGAAAGCACAAGAAGCATTCTTCTGTTTTCTGAAAATATATAGATACATGAACATTTGGAAATGATGCTTTTCCACTTCAGTCTTAGGATGGAGGGAAGAAACGGTTGAGGTTGAAAGGGAGGGTATAGAACTCTTCATTTCGGCTATCTCCTTTAAATGTTCTAAACTTTGCCCACCATGGCATTCCCCTGTCTTTGGCACTATCCTTGTAGTCAAGAGTGTTGTCCAAAAACACAGCAACAATCAATGCAACCGTTGGGGAAGAAAAGAATATGGTATTAAGGAAATCATTGAACTGCAAAACCAAAGGACAATAACTTGAAATCATTATTACAATTTCCATGTCATGGTATGCCAGATGGTCACATAGTTTTGATACTACTCACTGATCAGGACATGTTTGACTTATAATATAAAATGTCATTATGCAGATTATGGAGGTGAACTTTGATTTTAATTTGAAAAAGTACAAAAAAAGAACTAACTTGAATTTGATTTAAGTTTTGTACAGAGCTATATATATAAGGAGATAAAACAATGAACTCACCCATCCAGCATTGGTATGAGCAGGGCCATGAAAGGCCCTGATAGTGTATTCTCTGAAATACTCAGGAATGGACAAACCTAAGAAGAGGGAAACACCACAGATAAAGAGGTTCCTCATTGAGTTCATGTTAGTGAATTGCAAAAATGATAGCCCCACAGATGCTGTAAAAACAAAATTAGCAATTGTCATTAAAATGGCTGAGAAAGGAATCAGATAGTAAAATCAGAAAGGGTTGGTTATTTAGTTTAGTTGGTGGTTACTCACCCACAATACCAAACAAAACACAGTACACAGCAGCAAACATGGGGAATGGTATTGATGCAAATAGAGCTCCAAATTTTCCTGAAGAAAGAAGCAAAATATGAATTTTAACTCAAATAATGAAATTAATGTACACATTTGTGTTGTTCCACTCACCTAACATTGAGAAGAATATCATAAAGCCAGCTGAAACTTGAATGACTCTTCTACTGCCAATACGATTGCTTCCTAGAAGCCCCACATTTTCTCTGTCATAGTCCTACAATAATCAATTTGTGCCCCATAAAAGTGAAATAAAAGCATGAATAGATCATGAAGAATAGTTGCACTTACACAGAAACAGTAGAACCAGTGAGTGTTCCAAAAAGGCCATTCAGCAAGATTCCAATTCCCTGCCAACCAACACCACGACTCAGCACGTGAGCAGGAGGTGGTGTGGCACTTGCTAGACGTGATGCAGCTTTGTATGCCCCAGTTGACTGAAAGAACAAAAACCTCATTTTTTATTTCAGCAAATGTGTATTTTCATACACAAATAAGTATAAAAAACAAATTTAAAACATTACTATATTGCAACAAATGCTTTATATATAATAACTATTATTTTAAAAGTCCCACCTACCATGGGTTTTGGTATGTTGAAAATGTAAGTACATGGAAATTAGACTTTATTTGTTTTTTATAAATTGTCAACGTAGATAAGACTTTATTTTTATGCATGTTGCAGCAATACCTCAACTAATGAGACTAACACAGCAGCCATCATTCCAAAAGCATGACCCGCATCAAATGTAGGAGCACCCCACTCAAGAGGGTATGGAATCTTTATCCTGCCACAACATGTTCAAGAGTCAATAACTAACTCAAACATATTCTTTGTTAAATTCATGAACATGATTATTTTGTAACAGTAAAAGTATGTGTGTTTGCAAATGTTCAACTACAAAGGTCCCTCTTGGTAGTACCAACCATGGAGCAGAAGAGATGAGGTTGGCCCTGTCTGTCCTGCAACTATGTTGGGTTAAGTCTGGGCGGTGTTTGTATGCTCCACTTGCTGTTAACAAGTGTGCATATGCCCATATCACTGTTGTGGAAATGAGTAGAGCAAATCTCTCTAGTATAGGTACTTGCTTTATCTGAAAATTTTTCAAGTACTGCACACAACACATAGCTATGAGTGGTTAGTGACCAGAGGTTTTGGGTACTTTACATATTAAGACCCATTCTGCAGAAGTAACTAAAAAGAAAGAAAGGTAAGACAATTTCAAAGTCCATTTTCTACTTGCTATCTTTAAACATGTCCATCACCAATGTTTTACTTGTGTGAGATAACTGCAGTAAATCCATTTGTACCTGAGAGAAGGCTATAAATAGGATTAGCATGGGAATTCCAATTTCAACGCAAGTCCCCACCTGTAAAAGGAAAGAGCAATATGAGCCAAAGAAAATACTATTAAATTTCACAATTAAGATATCCTGACAAATAGTGATAGTAACATGTGGTTTAGGGTTATACCACCAGGAAGCCTCTGTCAAATAGTCCAAAACCAACTAAGGCTATTACTGGAACCATTCCAAGTGGGCTGAAAAATCTGAAGATAAAGCGAAAGGACATTTATTATTAGAGATATAGACTGTGCGGTATTCAAGTTTCATGCTAATAGCCCATATTTGGCTTCAAAAACATACATATATTTTACACTGAAAAAATTACCTGGAACAAATAGCCCATATTTGACTAAATCCCAAAATTATTTGTATGCTTGAAGCTACTATTAAAGCTCCTTGAACTGCTCTCATTGTGCTTAGAAATCTCTGGAGATGAATGGAAGGGCGTTAGTTTAAGAAATGGAGATTGACAAAATTAAGACAATTGTGCTTTATCCTGCACATTATTATTCTGAACTTTGTCCCAACAAATTCTTTTTCCTATAATAAATGGCTAGTAAAGAAGACAAATTTCATCACCATGTGTAGATCCCACAAGCTTAACAATAAATACGGTGGTGTACTGAAGTGCATAGCTCGGCTACACTGTAAATATCTTTATTATAGTTAGGACCATAAATGTTCATTGAATAAGCTTAAACGTTCACATTCTTAAATCCTTCATAGGTAATATGAACTTCACAACATAACAATTGAATTAAGAACAAAACATGAAAGAGATTGCAGAAATGCACTGACCAAATGTGGGTCCTCTATCATTGCAAAAGAGGGATCACGGATTATAGATATAATGGGGACCATGAATGCATATGATCCTCCTATCACTGTTGGTAATCTTGTTCCAAAGAGTGTCTGCAATAGTGTATTAATTCCTTCAACAAAAAGGAGGGTCTGTACCACCCTCACTTTATCATCCTGAACCAACAAGTCAATATATAAATGTCAATTCTCTTTCTATATTGCCAATTTAATTTCAGGGCCACCTAACTTCATTTACGTGGGTCCACCCAGTTCATTTTATTGTAGGACAAAATCAAATACATAAAACAAAACCAATCAATCAAAATTTCAAAACTTTTCTTTAGTGTGGATTTGCCAATAACACATCAAAAGAATTTCATCAGTATCTATCAATCAAAACAACAAAACAAACTGAAGTAGTTAAAAGGACTTTAACAGTTGAAATTCGAAACAGCTTACATCACTTCCACCCATCACAGGCACCAGAAATGAAGGGATCATCACCGCAGTTCCTAAGGCCAAAATGTAATGCTGGAAACCTAAAGCTATTGTCTCAGCTGCAAACAGTTTAACACATATATATCACTCAAAGTGAAGAGCAACAAGAAACAAAACACTAACAGTGCAGTTTGCCAAAAGGTTGAAGCTTGTTATGCATACCCCAAGATGGGTTTGAATCTATACAATACTCTAAGCCTTGAAGTTGGTCCATTGGTGGGTGGCTTATCTCCTCAGGCTTTATGGCTGCCATGATCACTACCCACTTTGTAACTCTTTTCTTCCAAATCCTACTGCTTTTGAAGCACACAAGAAGTAGAAACAACTCCAAGATTACAACAAGCACAAACACACACTTCGATCTTCCTAGATAGGAAGTGAAAGTGAGGAAACTAATTGATTCAGAAATGAAAGTGCTAGAATCAATGTATGATGCTAAGAAGCACAAAACAAATGATGGAAGTAAGAGATGGAAAAAGAAAAATGGTTCTTAGCACTGAGCACTAAGACCTTTTCTTCTTCAACTTTGTTAGCGGTTGCTATCTTTCTATGTCTGCTTTTGGTTTATTTACGTTATATATATCAAAGGGTTCCGTTAACTTTTCAATATTCCCATAATGCCCCTTAAGGAACTTCCAAAAAACTGAACTCAAATGTTACCGTTGCTTCACTGTTCCCATTAAACTTTACAACTAATTATTTTTTGGAGTTAACCTAGTAATAAGGTGTCTCAAATAGAAAGATACTGATGATAAATGTTAGTCTGAGTTTTCAACCAGGTTAAAATAAAGGTTAAAGTTTTAACGTTCACATGTTATATAAATGTATATTAATATTTAAAGTATCAAACTTAATTATTTTTAATGTATTTTTAAATGAACACATATTTAATGTCATAACCACAGTAGCAACTCTTATCTATTTATATTGAAAACTACGATTTTTCATCTCAATTGTAAAATAAATTATAATGGTCCACAACTACTATTTATCAACGATGTTTTATATAATACGTGATTAAATATTATTAATTATTTTATTTAATTTGAAATATGTGTAAAAAGAATGGGCAATATTATTAAAACAAATGATAAATCTTAACACCACTTAATAATTTCGTCAATTTAGATCTGAATCAATCTGGTAATAAAGTGATAATTGTTTAAAGTCAGGAATCTGTTATGTTTTGACTAAAACTTATACATGCACATATAGAAAATAATGAGTCACTAAATGCTGAAAATGTTAAAATTCTGTCAGTATTTTTTAAAAAGAAAACAAGAGACGGTTAGGTATTGAATATGATAATTTATTTAAATAAAAATTTGAATATTATCGAGACTAAAAACTTATTTGATTTAATTTTGTTTATTAATTTTTAAAAATAGTTATAGAGATTAATTTTAGAAAATTAATTTTAAATAAGTTAGGAGAAAAAAACTTATTTTGATAACTCTATTTTTTAAAACTATTTTAAACATATATATATATATATATATATATATATATATATATATATATATATATATATATATAACCACAAAAATTACTATTGAAAATTGAAAAATGAATTTTATACTTTTATGAAGGTAAACAAATATATAATTATTAATACACATATTAATATTTTATTAAAAACAGAAAAATATTTCTTCTCAATTATCGTTTTTTAGTTTTTAAAAATTAAAAACAAAAGATAAAAAATTATTTAAATTTTTTTACCAATTTTTAGTTTTAAAAACAAAAAAAATGATTTTAAAAAACAGAAAATAAACAAATCTATCTCTTTCATTAGTTTTTAAATTATTTTATTATTGTTGAACTTTAAATGTTCCTCCTTTCTTGTGATTTGAGTTACTGCAATTTTAAATAAATTATACTTAAGTGAATTTTGTTAAAAAGGCCAAATTAATGTTTTATGTAAAGAAAAAGGAAAAAAATACGCGTAAGTTGGTAAAATAAAAATATATGATAAATAAATTATATATTAAATTTATTTGGTTTAAAAAAAGATAAATAATAATAACAAATAAATAAAAAATAAAAATAATATTATAAATCTCATTTATTATAAAATTAATTTTTTCTCTTTTATATTTTCCCTAACATACCCTTTTATTTTTATCTTTCATATCTCCATTTCCTCAAAATCAAATATGATTTTTATATTTCATCACAGTTAAATAAATATTTAAGGTAAATTTGTTTATAAAAATACACTTTAAGATTCAAAATAATATATATATATATATATATATATATAATTATTTATGATTTTTTAATTCATTAAAATGTCTCACTTTTATATTTAAATTAAAATCTTAAAATTTTGATATTTTTAAAATATTTTATCTACTTTCTCATATTAGATATAATATTTTTTTTATATTTCATTATTTTTTACTAATTTTTAAATTTTTTAAATTAATTAGTTCATTATATTATTTTTTTTTTAGTTTTTCACATTTTTTAATATTTTCAATCAATTTGACTTTTTTTCAAATTGAAAATATAAAGTTATTTTTCTTTTATATTTTTTAAAAATATTTTACATCAATCTTATTAGTAACTAATATTATTTTATTTATAATTTATTTTTATCATATTTTATTATGTTATATATATATATATATTATTTCTATTTATTATATATTAAATTTTTTTAATAAAATAATTATATTTTGAAGGATTAAAAATAATTAATAATTAAAACTTGTATCACTTTGAATTAATTAAATAATAATTAATTTATTAAATTTTTTTCATAAACTATATATTTTATATTTTTAAATAATTTTAAATGACAACTTTAAAAATAGTTAACTTATATATAATTAAATATTTAAATACAATGTTATAATATATAATAATAATATTATAAATATATTATATTAATATAAAAAATATTAAACATTTTTATGTACATATTTTAATATAAATATAATAAATTAAAGTATATACTTATAATAATAATTAAAATTTATAAATATTTATTTTTATATAAAAAATACATTAAAAACATTACAATTTATTTATTATATATATAATTATTTTTTAGAAAAATTTAGAATGGTAATGGGTTGGAGACAAGGAAATCCGAAAATTTAATTTTTAACCTTAAAAGAGATTATGAATAAGAATGATTAAAAAAGTTGAGAGTCCAGAAATTAAAACTTATTTAATTGTCATGCCTAATTATGATTAAGATAATATATTAATTAATACTTGATGTAAATAATAATTTATTGAAATCATCTACTTTTAAAGTTATAAATATAAAACCTTTTAAAGATAATATTATGAAAAAATAAGGAAGTTCTAAAGTCACAATGCTTCAAATGCAATAAATATTTTCATGCTTTTATATATATATATATATATATATATATATATATATATATATATATATATATATATATATATATATATATATATATTAAATTTACATGATTGACTAAATCATAACCAAAATAATATCCAATAACGGTGGAGTCTAACTTGATTACCCTAAAATTATGTAGTCAAAAATAGATGTTTTAACCAAATAAAAACATGCATTTGGAGTAAGAATCATACACCCAAACATGAAAATGACCTCTAAGCTCAATGATAGGAGCAGGAGATTGTGCAAACTTGACACACATCTAGTCCATCGTTTAACTATCTTAAATAGTAGCAACCTAATATTACTTATCTTGAATTTTTTTCTTTTTAAAAAATAAAAGTTACTTATAAAAAACAAGTATGATGAACCATCATTTAGACAATCGTGTTAATATTTATATAGTGCACAAGATAAGAGTAATTCCAACCAAATTTAATTTTATACATTGTGGTCATCTGATTAAAAAAAAATCTTATGTATAATTTTAAATATATATAGTAATAACTAATAAATTTATTATATACGGAAAACATATATATAAAAAATAAAATTACGTCATTGATATATTAGTTTCATAAACAGAAAGTGAAAAAAAAAAAAAAAACATGGATGTGGACATACTAAAACTTATATTATCGTCGTGTTAGTTGAAGCCAATTGTGGTTTAATTGTTGGGTCATTTTCTTATATGGAAGCTTTTTATATTAGTTAGTTTGCATCAAATGCAGTAAAGAAGGGTCAATTCTGGCTTCGTTCCTATCTCCAATGTCTCTCATTTCCAATGTCATCATCACAACCACCATTTATATTGGACCCAAATCCCTTTCACTCTCCCTTTCATTTTTCATTTACCCACAAAATGTTCTACTAGTTGGGTCAGTAAAAAAATCAAGCTTGGGTTATTATTTTTGAATTTGAAGAAGTCAAATAAAAGTAACATAAATTCAAAAAGATTATTTTTTAAATTAAATTGTATTAATATTCTAATTAAATGTGTTATTATGGATATGTCAGTCAAGAGTGTAATATGGTTAATGTTGTGAAACTAAAACTAAGATTATAGTGTATAATTGTAATAATAAAATATTACAAAAATGATGATAATATGAACTTGTCTTGAACCCGCTAATACGCTGGACCCACCGCCTGTAAGAATTTCTTTTGCGAGTTTCGAAGCAAATAATGAGTGGCCAAGACAGAAATGGTGAGATTAAAATATGTTTTACTCATTTTTATCATACTAACTTATAAGATATACTTATTAATAATTTTCAATTTCAGAGTCACAAATTATAACAACATGAAGTGTTGAAGAAAACTCTTGCCTGATGGAAAATTAATAATAATAATAATAATCATAATTTTAATTCTAACGATTAAATATACACATAATCCCGTACTTGATAAACATGTTGTAAATTGAATAAGAAAACGTACTTGAATTAGTTATAATGATGATGTCTTTGTAGAGCACTGTATTGATCTTATGGTCTTCCACCTGAAGAGCACCTGTATTTCCCTCTTGATTTTCTTTCTTGATGGGGATAGAAAGAAAGAAACAGGAATGAAACTTACATTCTGTCTATGTGCTCCCAAAAGGGGACCACGACTCCTTAAAATAACCAGAATTAGGTTAATTACTTAAGTTTCAGTATTTTCAATTTGGCCCCTCATCAAATTAGAAATTGTTCAATGATCTCTACACAATTTTGTTATCATGACATATGCCTTTAGCCAGAACTTTAATTTAGTCAGATCACTTTATTATTTGACTTAATAAATAATGACCCTAACACATTTAAATTATGTATCATATATATACATGACCCAAATTTTGCCAACAATCTCCCACTGGTCATAAATATATA